ATATAAAACTACCGTATGATCTAGCCCTTCCATTCCTAGATATATGCCCTAAAGAAATGAAAAGAAAAAATGAAGACAAATGTTCAGATAAATACTTGTACATGAGTGTTCATAGCAAACACTAGTCATGGTGGCCAGAGTAGAACAGTCCAAGCACCCATCAGCTCATAAATGGATGAATAAATGTGGTCTGTCCATACAACAGACCATTATTCAGTCATAAAAAGGAAAGAAGGACTGATACATGCTGCCACATGGATGACCATGAAAAGCCAGGCACAAAAAAAGATCACATGCAGCTGTGTGTGGTGGTACTCACCTATATTTCCAGCTATGAGGGAGGCTGAGGCAGGAGGATTGCAAGTTCAGGGCCTGACGGGGCAATTTAGTAAGACCTTGTTTGTTTGGCACTGGCCAACAGTATTTTTTATGAGCCTTAGGCAGTCTCAGTCTTGGTTTACCAAGAAGAACAACTGATTAGAACAGTTACATCACCCTGACTAAAGTAGTAAATCAGCAATAACAGTAGCATCAAACACAGCCTAGAAAATGACAAAGTGTGCAAACTATTAATTTGCCACCTTTAACCATATGAACTAGATTTGTGGTCATGTAACAAAATCTAAAACAAACCAGAAAATTGTATGCAGTAAATAAGCCCTCAATATGGCAACTTTACCCTTAGGGGAGAAAATTTAGAAGGGAAAAAACAGAGAAATAGAAGAAGAAGAGATTAGAAGGAAGGCTGGAAGATAAAGGAAAACTTTACAGAAACTGGTGGAGAAGACAAGAAGGGAGAAGGAAGATACAAAAACAAGAACAGAATAACAATAAACTAGAGACCAAAACAGGAACAATTGGCTGGGCGTGGGGGCGCAGGCCTATAATCCCAGGCTAAGGAGGAGGATCTTGGTGAATTTGAGACCAGCCTGGACTGCATAGCAAGACCCTGTCTCAAAAAGATCAAAAAAAAAAGAAAAATCAAGAAAAATAAAACAAAAAACAAGAGAAAAAGAAAAAAAAGTAAAAAATGTCCACTTTAGGGTGTGTTTTTGCAGTCACTGGTAGACAGCGTGGGCAGACAGAGTCTAGATCCAAGTTGATTAATCCCAGTAAGCCAGCTGTGGATTTACGGTGGGGTAGCAGATAATCCCAACAAGCCTGCACCTTTAGTTCCACTTAAATTCAGGCTGGTTTCTGGCTGTGAGGCTGGAACTAGATTTGTTTAGCCCACAACAGTCCCTGTGCTGCCTGCTGGCTTGAGCTTGGCTCCCTGATTGGCCTGCAGTTGCTCTGAGTCCCGAGCTCAGTTGGCCCCTCTCCAAGATGGCTACTGGCTAATCGCCCTTTCCTAGGGGGGGCGTCCAAACCTGAATAACTCACCAGCCACTGCAGTCCGCTGTGTCCACTGCTCCGTCCCACTGGTGTGTTTCTCCATGGAGGCCTCAGGTCATTGCCAGGAGTCACCATGCATCTGCAGGTTTGAGCCTCCCCTCCCATATAGTGGGTCGGGGCTCAGGGAGGAAGCACCGTCTGCCACCTCCTTCTTTGTTGAAGTTTCTCTCTCGGCTCTCCCTGTGGGCTTCAGTTCTCACCTCCGATCATTCCTATTTCCCTGGGACCCACTTTCTTCCTTCTCTTCCTCATGTTGGTATATTCCAGTATCTGGACACCAAATCTCAGAGAGGCTCTTTCTCTGCTGATCACCATTCTGCCATCTTCCTGGAAATCTGGTTCACTTTAGAGAGACCTTGTCTCATTCATAAATAAATGAATAAATGAATAAATAAACAATTTTTTAAAAAGGGCTGGGGAGGTAGCTCAGCACACTCTATCTAGGTTCACTCCCTGATACAGCAAAAGATCATGTATAGTATGATTTTATTTTTCTGAAGCATCCAAAATAGTAAATCAGTTGAGCCAGAAAGCAGATAAGTGGTTGCCAGGGGTTGAAGGAAGAGTAGAGTGGAAAAGTGACTGTTTAATAAGTGTGGAATCACCTTTTAGAGTGTTGAAAATGTAGAACTAGATAGAGGTGTTACTGAGTGTCACTGGATTGTATATTTTAAAGTGATGTGGGTTTTTTTTTTTTATTTCTTGGGTTTTTTCTGGTCTTTTTGAGGCAAGGTCTCATTATGTAGTTCAGGCTGGCCTTGAACTCACTTTGTAGGTCAGGCTGGCCTCGAACTCATAGTGATCCTCTTGCCTCAGCCTCCCAAGTGCATGAACCACCACACCCAGCTTTTAAAATGATTTTTTAACATTATGTGAATTTCATCCCAGTTTTCTAAAATTAGAATACATACTAATCATAAAGAGATTACTAATAAGTGGGAACTTAATAAAATAATTCTGTTCTGCAAAAATTGTTACTAAGAAAACTAAAAGGTCAGTCATGGAATGGGAAAAATATTTATAATCCATTAACAAATTATTTATACCTAGACTACATAAAGGTATCAGCTAAAAAAAATAGAAGAAATGGGTTGGGTATGGTGGCACATGCCTCTAATCCAAGCACTCAGGAGGCTGAGGCAGGAGGATTGCCACAAGTTTGAGGCCAGTCTAAATTACAGAGTAAGATCCTGTGAAAGAAAGAAAGAGAGAGAGAAAGACCAAAAATTTAAACTGTGTAAAAGGGATAGATATTTCTCAAAAGATTTCCAATAAGCATATGAAAATCTGTGTAAAATAATTAATCACCAGGGAAATGCAAGTTAAACCTCAAGACGCAATTCATACCTACTGGAATGGTTAAACATTTTAAGAGACTGACTGTGCTGGTCAGCCTTGCATTGGTGGGACACACTGCCGGACGTGTGACTTGGAGGAGGAGATGCACACTTGGCTCATGGTCTCAGAGGTTTCAGTCCATGGTAAACTGGCTCCAGATCAGAAACATCATGGTAGAAGGGTGTGATGGAAGGAAGCTGCTCGCCTCGTGGTGGGGAAGTACAGCACAAGGGAAGACAGCCAAAGAAGGGGCCAGGCCCAGATACAGTCCCCAGAACTTTAGGGCTTTACTAATCAGGTTGACAAAATCAAGGTTAACCATCACATTGACAGTACCAGATAAAGATGTGGAACAGCTGGTCCTCTCACACACTGCCAGTGGGTTATAAGATGTACAGCCACTTTGGAGATTGGTGGGGAGTTCTGTATACCTATCCTGTGGCCCAGTAATTTAGGTGTTTACCTAAGAGAAGACATTTTATGGTCTATTGTTCATGGTCTGGAAACAGTTGTGTCCAACAGCTGGAAAGTGCATAAACAGATCGTATTCACAGAAAGAAGTACTACTAGGCAATAAAATGAAATACTTAGTAGTGACAGGATGGGAGGGCAGTTGACTGCAAAGAGGCAGAAGGAAGTTTCTGAGGATAGAAAAGTTCTCCAGTTGACTGGAGTGGTGGGCACTCAGGTGTATATATTTGACAAAATTCATTGAACCATGCCTTTAAAATAGATACAGGCTGGGCATGATGGAGCATGCCTGTAATTCCAGCACTCAGGAGGCTGAGGTAGGAGAATCACCATGAGTTTGAGGCCAGCCTGGGCAATATAGTGATTTCAAAGCCAGCCAGAACTGCATAGTGAAACCCTGTCTCAGAAAGGCAAACAAACAAACAAATAAATAAAAGGCAGTGTAAACCAGATGTGGTGGCATAGCCCTGTAGTCTCAGTGCTCAAGAAGCTAAGACAGGAAGATCATTTGAGCCAAGGAGTTTGAGACCAACCTGTGCAACAAAGTGAGACCCTGTTGAGAAGGAAGGAAGGAAGGCAGGAAGGAAGGAACGAAGGCAGGCAGGCAGGGAGGGGAGGGAGAGGGGGAGAGAAAGGAAAGAGGAAGAAATTACTAGCTTTTGTGGGGATGAGGGATGCTAAATGCTTTCTTGTAGAGTAGGAGTTAGCAAACTGCCACACAGGCCACACCCAGCTGGCTGTTTTTGTACATCCTGTGACCAAAGGATCTTTTTTTTTTTTTTGGTACTGGGAATTGAACACATGACCTCACGTTTGCCAGGCAGGCGCTGTGCCACTGAGCTATATCCCCAGCCCCAAAGGATCTTTTTCACATTCTTCAAAAAGTTATAATCAGGGCTGGGGATTTAGCTCAGTGGCACAGGGCCTGCCTGGCAAGCATGAGGTCGTGAGTTCGATTCTCGGTACTGGGAAAAAAACCCAAAACAAACAAACAAAAAAAAGTTATAATCTAACAAACAGAACCAGATAATATGCAACAGACAGCAGATGTGGTCTGCAAAGTCTAAAATATTTACTGTCTTGCCCTTTCCAGAAAATGTTTGCTCACTCCTGTTAACCCACAGTCCTGAGGGCAGAAGCAGGACAACCAGGGCTGGGTAGATTGGTAGGAAAAGGATGTTTGTTACATGTCCGGAGATCAAGTAGAAGGATGGTATTTTTTTCTTGTGGGTTATAATAGTGCAGTCTCTGATAACTTCCTTCTGAGCTTCTCCAGTGTATTTTCCTATGCTCCATCCACACCAGTGAAGTTGAAATTCTCCATGGTTACTTGTCTGCCCTGGCATAGTCCTTGTATGGAGAGCACCCATTCTCCTTTCCTAATGGCATCTCCCTTGTCTGTCTGAGCCAGTGGTATCGCAGCAGGCTGTTTGTATCTTTGATGGCTCTGAAAGGTTCACCATTGCTGGTCTAGGCGCACCTCCTCCATGGGCAGAATCCGCCCCTCCCTCTGTGTTCATAGCTCTATTCATGCTGCCAGAGTAACATAATGCGCCTGTTACACTTGGCTCTTCTCTTACCTGGGCCCCTGAGTGAGCTCGTCAGGTACAGGAAGTCGATTGTAAGCCTGCTGACCCTGGGCCTGACGCCTCAGTATGTGCTCTGTGCATGTTTAGTGACACAGGAGCGTGAACTGCGTGGAGAGCAGAGATTGTTGTTCAGAGAGGTTGAGAGAAGGTGAGGGCAGTAGAAGAGGCAGGTTCCCTGGAGCTCATCTGTCTGAATTTCATTTCTAGCGAACTGAACAGAGAGATGTGAGGAAAGCAAAGCTGAAAGAAAAGAAGGAGCAAAATCAGAACGAGGCTTTACTCCAGGCCATCAAGGTGAGTACTCCAACCCTGTGACATGCGCGAGTCTTGCGAGGCTGCTGGGAACCTTTCTTGGGGTGCCTTCCCTGAATTTTCTTTCTGCAGCAGCAGGGCGGTGTGTCCGCAGAGCCCGGGCTCCAGAGTCAGCCGTCCCACCGTCTGCGTGCTGTCTCAGGGACACATGCGCTGCTTCCTGGGCTCTGTTCTCATTCAGTCTTCACAGCACCATCAGAGATGGGCTTGCTGCTGTTTTCCTAGCTGACAAAGTCATCCCAGAGAGGTAAAGGAACCTCATTCCCTGGCTGTCAGAGCCAGGGCCTTGCTCTTCACACTGCGTCACGCTCATCTTAAGGGAATCAGAGCCTTTCAGGTGATGCTCCTCTTAACTAGCACAGCAGCAATGACAGAAGTCCTTCTTTCCCTTCCCTGTTTCTTGCATTCTGAAATAAGTACAGTCTGACCCAAATCTTGCTTTACTTTGAGCTTCTTCATCTTCACAGAATAGGTAATCCCCGCTGAGTGACTGTGGAGCAGGTTTTGGTTTCATTCTTTCTTCAGTTATGTTACGCACCAGTGAGGTCCTTGCTGACTTTGAGGACTTAGCACTACTAAAGTCCAACCTGCTTGCCATTCCAGCAAGCAGTATGTTACTAGGAATTAACAAATTGAATAGAATATTCCACATTTCCATTGAATCCTCAGTTACAGTGAGAGGTTTTCTTTTCTTAAATGCAGAATATTGGAGCCAGGCTTGGTGGTCCATGCCTGTAATCCCAGAACTTAGGGAGGCTGAGGCAGGAAGACTGTAAGGTTCAAGTCCTGCCTGGGCAATTTAGTCTCAAAAAAATAAATAAAAAGAGCTGGGGATGTAGCTCAGTGGTAGAGCTCTCCCCTGAATTCAATCCCCAGTATAAAAAAGAGAATATTGGAATGCCTAGACATTTGCTTGCAGACTTTTTATTGTTCTCTCCTTTAGTTCAATTCTGCATTTTGGGTTTCAGTTTTTGTAAGAAACTCAGCAGTACCCGAAGTCTATATATTTTTTTTTGAGACAGAGTCTCACTATGTGGTTTAGGCTGGCCTCCTCCTGCCTCAGCCTCCCAGGTGCTGGATTACAGGCATGCATAACCATGCTTGGCCTCGAAGCTCTATTTTACTGACGGTTTAAGGTAAAGGTCAGCAATTGCAGCCTTTAAAAGAGTCATCCTGTATGTATCTTATCTATGGCTGTTTTCACACTGAGCCCATCCAGGAAAACCTCACCTAGACCTTCTGAGGCGGTATCTTCATCCTCACCAGCAGCTTCGGATATGAGCCTGATACTCCTGACCTGGAGTTAATTAGTAAATAGGAGTTGATTAATTTCAACAGAGACTGTTTGGCTTACAGTATCTGATCCTTTAAGAAAAAGTTTGCCAGCTCCTATTAGGGGATGTTGTCTCCAGTAATCTTGATTGCCTGTGACTTCACTGGTGCTAACCTAGGAGCTTCAGCACATGGACATAAGATGTGACCCTCCTATTCATAGCCTTGACTGACTCTCATTTCTGTGAGATGGATCCTGTGTCTTGGCCAAACTGAAACATTTGTCGCTTGTATACAGGCTACACTCTTGATCTTTTCTGTGCCCTTGCCTGTGCTACCTTTCGAAGTCATTGTTCAAGGCCTACCATTTTCCAGTCGTTCTGCTCTCAGGCTGTATCGATCCTTGTGGACAGGTCCACAGCTCCATGTCGTACCTCCTGTGCTGTCTTCCTCTAGATCATAAACAGGCTTGAGGACAAGCCTAGCTAGCTCCTCTGGCACAGGAGACACCTAGCAAAGGCGAGTTAAACAGATGGTGCCTCCTCCACAGCACCCTCTGGTACTGAAGAGGAATCCTGTGGAGCTGGCCATCCGGGAGCTCACATCGTTAGGGTTTATTTCAGTGAAATGGGTTTGTAGCCCCCACACAGTAAAATTTTTGGTGTCTACATTTCTGTGTTTGACCCAGGTCAGGAACATCAGGCTCATATCCGAAGCTGCTGGTGAGGATGAAGATACCGCCTCAGAAGGTCTAGGCGAGATTTTCCTGGATGGGCTCAGCTCTGAGAACCCTTATGGTGCCAGGCTGAGTCTGGATGACCGGGGCAGGTTGAGCTGGCCTGTGCTGTTCCTGTACCCAGAATATGCCCAGTCGGACTTCATCTCTGCTTTTCATGAGGACTCCAGGTACTTCCTTGTCCAACAGCCTCTACTCTTCTTGTGTCTCTCCCTGCTGCCTTGACAATGGTGGGTAGGTAGATTTTGGTTGAAGAGGAAAGAGAATAGAGGGTTTCACACAGCCTGACCTCTCTGTGCTGTAGCTGATTGAACCTTTATTAACTAGATTTGCGATGACAGGTCCACGTTTCACCTTCATACCGCCTGGGCTAGTAGCAGTAGTGTGTCTACCAAAGAGTGGCCTACAGTACTGGTGAAGAATGAAATCATTTTAGGTAGTATACACATAGTCATTAAGTGTATATTAGAAAAAATGTAAATAGTACATTTAACGTATGGTTTCATAGAGTTAATGCTGAATGTAGCTAAATGTAAGAAATGCTTTTAACTCTGATAAAACTGTCTCAGAGGACAAATGATACACAGACACGTTTTGGGCGGTGCTGCCAAAATGGACTAAACCTTTCTATCTCTGGGTATGGGGTCCAGGGACTGGTGTAGGAAAGGAGATCATGAGTGACTGATGCCCATAGTACATGCTGTGTCCTTAGGTTTATTGATCATCTAATGGTGATGTTTGGTGAAACGCCCTCTTGGGACTCAGAGCAAAAATACTGCCCGGATAATCTGGAGGTAAGAGAAGTTCTATTTTGTTCAATTATGAAACTTTTTAAAGGGAGGGAACTGAGGCATAGACATCACATTTTTTAAAATTGTGGTAAAATACACCTAATTACAATTTCATGGTTTTGGAACCATCAGCGCCATACCTGTATAACTTTCCATCATGCCAACGTGAAGAGTAACTGCATGCCCCTCTCCTGTCAGTCCCTGGCAGCACGTTCTGTCTCTATGGATGTGGTTGCTGTAGGTACCATCTAGGAATGGAATCGTACAATATTTGTTCTTTTATGTCTGACTTATGTCACTTAGCATAGTGTCTCCAGGTTCGCCCGTGTTGTATATGTCACACTGTAGCATGTGTCAACCTTTATTATTCTTTTGTGGTACTGGGGGTTGATCCCAGTGCCTTTGCACTGAGCTACATGCTCAGCTCTTTTCTTACTTTTTTATTCTGAGACAAGTTCTTGCTAAGTCTCTTAAATTGCCCAGTCTGGGCTCACACATTCCATCTTCCTGCCTCAGCCTCCCAGAGTGCTAAGATTACAAGCAGGCACCAAACCCTCCTTTTTAAGGCTGAATAATATTTATTGGAGTATGGGGTTTTTTTCAAACATAATCACAGTGTACAGTATGAAGAATTTATCTTTAGCTGGGCATGTATTGCATGCCTGTAATCCTAACTACTTGAGAAGCTGAGGCAGCAGGATCATAAGTTTGATGCCAGCTTAGGGATACCCTGTCTTAAAATTTAAAAGAGATCAATCCTCAGTACTAAAAAAGAAAACAATCTTCTTCTAATCATTTGAGAGTAAGATGCCAACTGATGTCTCAGAAGCCTGAATACTTTAGTGTATGTTTCCTACAATGATATTTTTCTTCATAATCACAAAAGAGCCATCAAAATCAGGAAATTAACAATGGGACATTACTCTTCGGTAGTTCTCAAGTTTCATTCACGTTTTCCAGGTTGTGCTAGCAGTTTTTTTTTTTTTTTTTTTTAGGGAAGACAGGGTCTTGCTCTGCAGTCCAGGCTGTCCTTGAACTCGCAATCCTCCTGCTTTAGCCTCTTGAGTGCTGGGGTTGCAGATGTGCACTACCACACCTGGCTTTGTTTTTGTTTTGTCCCAGGAATGTTCTTCCCAGCCCTTGGCTCCTTTTCAGAAGCATATAGTGTGTTCAGTGATCACGTCCTGGAGCTTCCCCCAGCACAGCACAGTTCTGCACACTTTTTTCTGCCTGCTTGATCTTGATCTGTGGATTGCAGAACACAGAAGTGATGTAGTGTTCTGTGTCCCGTGGGTGCTGCCTGGTTCCCGTTCGGGCATTCGCTGAGATGTCCACTCCAATCACCTGAACGAGGCTGCTCCACTGGACAGTTACTCACTTGCCTTTATAATAATGAATATTTAGCTGGGCATGGTGGCGCACACCTGTAATCCTAGCACTCTGGAGGCTGAGGCAGGAGGATCGTTGGGAATTGGAGGCCAGCCTGGGCTCCAAAGTGAGCTCTAGGCCAGCCTGAACTGCATAATGAGATCCTGTCTCAAAAAGACAAAAAAAATATATATATATATTATATATATATATATGTATAAAATAATGAATATTTTATAGGGAGGTACTTTGAAATGATACAAACATTCCATTGTTCTTCAGACCTTCACCATTTTTGTTTTTATCAGAGGATTTATGATCTCCTCTTGTATTCAATGAGTTATAATCTGCTAGTAAGATTGTTCACTTTATGGGGTGGTTTTTTTTTTTTTTTTTGCAGTACTAGAGATGGTCCTTGTGGTGGGTTAACCACTGGTGGTCAACTTATAACCCCCAGCTGAACTGAGTAAGCGTGGTGCTGGGTGTGGGAGGCCCACCTGGGGATTGTTGCCAGCAACATAAGAGGTAGAACTGGAGAAGAAGTAGTAAGGCCATTGGGAACTGAGAAAGGCTGTTGGGAGCCTGTTGGAAGTAGAGAGAAGCTGTGAGGAGCTGTTGGTTTTCTTGGAGGAGCTTGTCATGCTGGCATTCCTGATGAACTTGGCTGTTTTCATCCTCCAAGGAGCTTGGGACCTTGTCACTAAGAATGGCTTTAGTTCACTCTGGGGGAGCTTTGGTCCTCACTCTGAGCATCGCTTCCTGGCTCTGGAGGGGAAGAAGGTGCACAGTTCAAGTCTCCTGAAGAAGCTTGTTGCATTAGCTTTCCTGATGGGAACTTAGCTTTCCTGATCATCAGAGGAGCTCGGGATCTCAGTGTTGCTGAGGATGGCTGTGGTACTTTAGGGGAGCTCTGGTTCTTACTTTGTGCGTTGCTTCCTGGCTCCAGTGCAGATCCCTCAGCCTGCTAGCACAGATCCTTCATCCTACTAGCACAGACTTACTAGATTCCACCACTGACCCTTGGGCCTTCCCTGTGTAGATCCATGAAACAGGCCTGCATGAGATATTATATGGGCTCTGGGCCTCCAGTTGGATTTGTGGGAGGCATTGTTATGAGCTCTAGGTCTTCAGCTGTACTCATGCAGGACATTATTGCAGGACCCAGGCTGGATTCCTGGTCTGTAGTGTGTGGACAGATTTCCTGTACTCTCTCGTATATCATTCTTTAGGTGACTATTATAAATAATCTTATAAAATATGTATCCTGTATTATGTTGTTTCCCCTTGCAAAAAACCCCAAACCAACACAGTCCCCATGGCCTTGCACATGCTAGGCAAGCATTCTACCATGAAGCTGTACCTCCAGTTCCCTATGATGGTTTATTCTGTGGTCAGATTATCCTGGAGTTGGCCAGTGGGAAACCCTTTAAATTTGTTTCTGTGTCCTTTTGATTTATCACCATTTTTAAAGCACTTGCTTTCTGGCACAAGATGTCCTAGGTTCAAGTTGTGCTTTCCTTGCCCTGATTCACCCATTTTTCCCCCAAGGAGCCCTTTCTAGTGGAGAATAGTATTGAGAAGCCAAGATCGCAGGGCAGTAGATGTGCTGTCAGTACTGGGTGAGGGCATCAGTGCTTTGGTCCTTCTCAGTGCCTCTAGTTAGGGAGTGTGTGTGTTACGTTACTCATCCTGTGCAGAATCTGCAACCTGTGCTGCTCAACCACCCATGTGAACATCCTCCTTGTCCTGCTCCTGCTCTAATCCCACACAACAGGGCATCTGTGGGTTATCTGTTTAGCTGTAATGCTGGCAAAAAAGTCCTTCTCTGCCCCTTGGTTCTGCCTCTGGAGAATGAGCTGACCATAACCTTTCCTGAAGTGTCATAGGGATGACTGAAGGCAAAGCACACAGCCCTCAGCTTTGTACAGCAGGTATTCGGCTAGTAGTAGGTGCCATCTCTTAACTCTTCTTCAATATGTTTGGTAAGCCATGAAGCACTTTATTTGCCTCTGACCTTTCCTTCTGATTAATCTTATAGGTCTACTTTGAGGATGAGGACAGGACAGAACTATACCAGGTGCCTCCCAAGAGCACCCTGCTGCAGGTGCTGCAGCATCCCAGGTGAGCAGTTCGTGGGGCTGAGCAGGCACCGTCCAGGAGTACAGCCAACTTCTCATTCCTCTGCCTGGTGCTTACCTGGCACTCCCCATCTGCACTGGGGCGGCGTGGGGTGTGTATGGGGTGGCAGCCGTAAGGGCTGGCACAGCCTGCTAGACAGGGCCAGTGGCCAGGTAGGTTTGTGAGGTGATGACAGCTTGTTGTGCTGCAGCCATGGCCCTCCCAGACACGCGGGGGTGACTGGGCTGGCCTCAGGAGGAAAGCGCTGTCTGGCTTTTGTACCTGAGATGGCCCTGCTTTTCCCAGCTGTACCTGTGTCCTGAGATACTATTAAGTGGAAAGGACACTGACTGTATTCACTGCTGTGTAGCTCTGAACATACTCTGCCTCTCTGAGGCTCTTCCTTCATCTCTAGCATGAGATAATGATGCCTGCCTACACACTTCTGAGCACTTGAGTATCAACGAATGCATAGCAGTTCGAGTGTCCTGTAAATTGTACCAAGCCGCCCCGCTGTAGGAGGGCATCAGCAGTCAACAGCACGTGAGATGTGGCAGTTGTCTCTCGCAGCAGCTGCTGTAAAAGCGTGCCCTCTATAGACAAACACATTGAGGCTGCTTTTCGGTGTACTGGAGGAAACGGTGGGTAGGTATGGGAGGAAAGGAGGCTGAAGAGCTAAGTTAGGACAGGGCATAAAGCATATACTTGAATGCCCTGCTGAGGAGCTTAAACGTTATCCTGGGGGTGGTATATGAGGTCACAGAGAACATTTATTAGGTCATATCTGAAGTGTCTGTTTGATGGCAAGCTGAAGTAGGAAGGGATAATTGGAGCGCCAGGATTAGACTGCATGGAGCTGGGGAAGTACTGACAGGCCTGGTGTCTCGCTGGTCGTGGGTGCTTCTGCTTTGGCTTGGGAGGCAGGTGGGGAAGGTTCTCCAGAACTGATTAGTACTTTTCTGAGTGGTATTTTTCTCTGGTCCCAAATCTCCCTTTTCCTAGTTTACGGACAGATTTTCCCCTTTTAATTTTCTCTGCTATCAGAAAATTACCAAGACTTCTTTAAAAGCCTGAGGTGTACCTACCCCATCTCCAAAAAATAAAGAACTCTAAACAGAAAACACATTGATCTTTGGAGAAAAACTAATTTTATACCCTCAGAAAATGTGAATACTACTGGCAGTGATTGCTTTCTAAATTACTACCATAGTAAGAGATGATCCAGGACTGGTTTTGGGCAACTCCATCTTGAGCCAAGCTACAGTTTCTGTCCAGAACCAGGCCACTGGGTGATGCCAGCACCCTAGACCTGGGAGACTAAGGCCCACCTTCAACCTGCCTCACTCCCTTTGCTTTTTGCCCTAGCAGCAGCCAGTGTTCTGGTTAGCTGCACCTCCTGGCTTTTGCTACCCGTCTGCCCCAAATTAAAGCCAAGTTCAGACATGGTATCTTCTAGGAAGTCTTCCCTGATTCTTCCTCAAGAGGGAACTGTGGCCCTTGGGCTAAAGCCACACTGCGCAGATGCTTCTACAGTTGTACCTCGCTGTCTCTGCTGGTTCCTTATCTCCTTCCTCAGCACTGAGCTTGAGAGCAAGATCATGATTCTGCATGTTTGCTTTTTAATCTCTGCAATTCCAGCACGAGACCTGGCTCACCCTGGCCACTCACTGACTCTCAAGTGGAAGCATGCTTCGTAGTTCCACGTCCTGTTAGTTACAGATGTGCGTGATGCTAGAGGACTGGCCTAAAGGTCCTGGCTAGGTTGGAAGGGGGAGAATGTCATGCTGATTTGCCACACAGTATGCTAGAGTTGCATTTTAATGTTCACCCATGTCCAGAGTTTCACCTTGAATGTTCTGGGGATAGTCTAGGGATGACTAAGACTATAATTCAGTTAACCCCATCTCTTTGTTTTTTGTGTCCACTGCAGGTACTTTGTAAAAGCCCTGACTCCAGCATTTCTGATCTGTGTAGGGGCCTCTCCTTTTTGCAAGAATTTTCTCCAAGGGAGAAAGGTGCACCGGGTAAAGTGACAGAGCCAGGCTATGCGAGCCAGGTCCCTGCCTCGTGTTCCTCACCATCTTGAACAGCTGGAGACACTCCTAGAACCCAGCACTTTTGTTCTGTCCCTGTGGGGACATTCTTTCCTAGCCTCAAGCAGGGGAAGGAGCTGCTGACTTCCCTACTCTGTGGCCTCTCTGGCCATTACTCTCTTCAGGGGAGGCACAGCTCTGTACCCGGCTGTGATGTCCCGGCAGTGTGTCTGTGAGGAAACCACCTGCCACGTTTACCACAGCAACTGACTGAGTGAGTTGCCAGCCTGTGGATACCACTCTGGACATTGTGACAGATGCCACAAGAAGCCTTCAAGAAGATGCCCCTCCAGCGCAGTAACCAACTCTGAGGAATTCTAAAGCCTGAAGGCTCAGCTGACCTGGTTCCCAGTTGTTTCACCACCATGGAAGGGAGCTGTGTGGGGAGCTGTATACTATGGGACAGCTGGAACCGTGGAAGGCCCTGCCTGTCTCTGTCTACTGCTCAGACGCTGCCAATTTCTTCATCTCTGCAGTATGAGAACTGTGAGGGACAGTGGCCTCCAACTTTCATTCCAGTTTTCACATGTGAGGATTGTGTGCCTGTTTGGGATGGGGCCTCACAATATTCCCCAGGCTGGTCTCAAACTCCTGGGCTCAAATGATTCTTCTGCCTCACCCTCCTAAGTGCTGCAACTGACTACAGGTGCACACCCCTGCACCTGGCTAGGATTTTAGGCCATTTAAACTAGAAAATCTTGCTGGGCGTGGAGGTGCACCTCTTTAATCCCAGCACTTGGGAGGGTGAAGCAGGAGAATCACTGAGTCAAGGCTGGCTTGCAACATATAGCAACACCCTGTCTCAAAAAAACAAAACACTGCTGGGCGTGGTGGCTCATACCTGTAATCCCAGCACTCTGGAGGCTGAGGCAGGAGGGTTGTCACTGTTTGAGACCAGCCTGGGCTACAAAGTGAGCTCAAGGCCAGTCTGAACTCCATAGCGAGACCCTGTCTCAAAAAGACCAAAAAAACAAAACAAAACACATTAAACTGGGAAATCTTTTTGCATGTCGGTCACTGTCATAGGATGTATTTGTGCCCCATTTCTGAGAGGATCTTGGATATTCTTACCTGTAGCTGTATGCCTTCCCTCTGTACCCACCCCATTTCCAGAAGAGCACATCCCTCCTGCGACCCGTGCAGAGAGACAGGAGCACTGCCACAAGTGTGAAGAGCGGTGCATCTTCTCCGTCGTGAGATCCCATCTTCCACGCAGGGCAGTCCCCTCAGCTTGGGTGCCAGTCTGGAGAACAGAGCCAAGCAGAGCTGGAGCCGCTGGCCTGCAGCTACACACTGTAACAGAATGGGAAATGGATGTTGTGGTGAGCACTGAGTTTTGGGAGTTGTGACTCAAGTGAAGCAGACCAGGACTCCATATGCTGAAACCTGCAGTGAGTGAGGCACTGCGCAGACCTGCAGTACTACATGCTCGTATCTAACCCTGACAGGTTAGGGGCTGTCTAACTCGGGGGGCTGTGATCCATTTTCTAAATTCAAATGGAGGCACACAGTCACAGCACTAGTGAGTGTCAGAGCTAGGCTCAGCCCTGCGCCCCACTCCAGACCCTGCCTTCGCCCTCCCTGCTTACCTGGTTTCCTCTGCAGGCATTTATCCTGTCCCTCGCCTGGCAGTCTGCCAGCAAGGTCGCGCTGCTGCCTGCATGTAATAAATCTGACCCCAGTGAAAAACACAGCCACAAGCAAGTCTGTCCTCATCCCTCCTCTGAGCGCTCAGTGGCTATCCTGGCCTCACTGGCATTCTTGGATACCCAGGCCACCTCTGCAGCTTCTTCTGCAGCCTCTGGAGCCCTGGACACAGTTCAGTCATGGGGCATGAGGTACAGCAGCTAAGGGTCTCAGCCCAGGAGCTGCACTGCCTACGTTCCAGTTCCAGCCCCACAGTACATTAGCTGCAAGTCATGGGCTCTTTGCTTAGGCTCCTTGTATCCTTATCTGCATCTGGAGCAAGACAGTAGTACCTGCTTACTGCAGGAACTGTGAGGGTTAAATGATTCATCTTTGTGAAGCACATGGACAGAGCTTGTCCCGTGGCAAATGCTTCATTTATGACTTCTCCAAGCTTGCCATGCATGCCTACCTTTGCGCCTCTGCCTGGGCCACTCTTTCTTCCACTTGCTCCCCTCCATCCACCCGTTTTCCTCCCACTACTAATGCCCAGCCTTCCACCATCCACCAGGTCCTGTTGTCTTCTCCAGGAAGCCTTTGACTCCTTACCTGTATGTCCCCAGGGACCTGCACCGCCCCAACTCTTACACACTGCACTCTCGCTGTTTACGTGATGGTTCCCCAGACTTCTTGTAAACTCAATCAAGGAACCTGAGCTATGTGTTCTTGTACCGTCAGGGCCTAGCATTGCCCCTCCTCAGCACCAGTGCAAATTGGTCTCTGGTCTTGCTAATGCAGTGACACAGAGATCTGTTTGTCACATGGCTGGAAGTGACCCTAACCGGAAAACATGGTAAATTCTTACAGGATACAAAGCCTAAAACAGGTTCAACAATAGCACAATGATGTGAACGTTTTTTCACTACTGGCTTGGTGCATAAACAACTCCTGAGTGAGGCCTAAAGAAAGGAGTGATTACTTCTGAACAGACTACCAGTGATGGCGAACCTTTCGGAGATGAGCGCCAAACTGCAACCCCAGACCCACTTATTTATCACAAAGTACCTGAGGTTTTAGTTTAGGAAAAACAGTTTAAACATGTACATCTTTTGTCTTAAAAGGAAAACACAGTAACACATATGCCATAGCTTTGCCACCATAGGACTAGAAAAAAAGGCCGCCCATCTCAGGCCATAAAATGGGAGGGTTGGGGGTGGGGTATGGTAGGAGGCCCCTGAAGGAAGTAGCCTTGGAAAGGCACCGTGCAGGGGCAGCACGGGCTGACCCAGCTCAGGAGCCACAGCGGCTGCCTCTGAGCAGCTTGCTAGGTTGGCTGCAGTGTAGGTGCTTTATGTGTTTGGGCTCACTTAGCCCTTCCACAGCTCTAGGAGGCAGGCAGTTGCATGGCCCCCTTTTACTGGTAGGAAAAGTAACAAGGAGAGGTTAAGCAACCAAGGTCAGCTAGCTAGTAAAAAGCAGAGCAGGACATGAGTTCAGGACTCAGTGCTTCAGGAGATAAGCAGATTACTAACTCGACGTTGCCTCCTGGGAGTTTGCAAAACACCCAGTTACCCTGCCTTGCTCACTTCAAACTTACCTTTGGGACTCACTGTGTCACGCAATGTCACCAACCTGCCTAGAAGAATCCACTGTAGGTAGAGATCCTGGCTAGATCCAGTAACCAAGTCCCCATACACCTGACATCAATAGGAGCTCATGAGCTTTCTGGGGGAGCCCCTGCCATTGCAGACTGCTGGTCCTCAGTTACTGTTACCCATAGCATGTCTCCTGCGCCCTGTCCTAGCCCTAAACAGTTTTAATTGGCCAAGGGCAATTAAGCACAACCATTAACAGCCCAGAGTGGCTGGCTTGACAGGAGTGGGTATGTCAGGATGCTGCCTGAACATGGCAGATGACATGCCAGCCCCTTGCGCAGGCCCACGGTGCACCACCCACCTGCCTACTACAAAATGCCAGTTAATAAAGGACAGCTGCCACTCACTAAATTCCTGCTGTGTGCCAGGCACCACTGTCCTGTTTATAGATCAGGAAGCTGAAGTCAGGGAGGAAGGGTCTGTCATAGTCATATAGATGTTACATGGCCCAGGCGGTCTGATTCTGACCTCAAGAATGGGGTCTTACGCTATAATGCACATGACTTTTACATTAAGGTAAGTATCTTGACTTTTTTTCAAATGTTAGTGAAGTTTGCAATAACATCAGAAAATTATTTTCCCATCCTTTTCCTAACTAAAATAAAACCTCTGATACTCTTGGATGCCTAACAACCCAAGGCATCTCAATACAGAAATGGATCTTGGGAACTCTTAAGTCGTGGCACTCAAGCAGTTAAAAGAGCTATTTCAACAGATTTCCACAAAGTTCCTTTACTGACTGCCCTGCATGTGTTTCTTCCATTAAAACAGAGTATTAATGGAGCCCTTGATTTACATTCTGAGCTTGGTTTACATGATGAGTTTAATCATGTAAAGTATTAATTTTGCTGTTTCCCAGTTGCCTAGATCTCCTCAGGGAATGAGCAGTGAAAATATAGCCTCTACCTGTTACTCTGCCAGCATCCCAGTTCATCAATTTATGGCAAGAGGTAAAAACCCGCAAGTTCAGAAATGAGAAAGTAAGGTACATTGAGTAATTCTCTTTCCTGTGAGATGAACCTAGTTCTTGTTTTCCCGGGAAGGCTATAAAGCATCCTATCAAGGAAACAAGATCCAGGTTTTGAGAAAAAGTTAACAGCAATGCCCAAGCTCCTGGGGAAGTGCAGGTGAAGGGTCAAGCATTTCACACAAGAGCTCTGTCAGACTGCCCTACAAGGCAGGCACCATTAGCACAAGCATTTACCAGGGAAGCATCTGAGATGAGCAAAGGGCAAGCAATCTGTCTCAGATCATGTCCCCAGTAAGTGGTGAATCTAGGATTACGCCTCTTCAAGGCTCTGTCGGAGCTTCCCACCAAATCATACTGCTCCAAGCTACTTGAAGAAACCCTGGCTTTGTGATCAGGATGCCTAGGTTTCATTCAGCTTGACCTCAGGTGAATCACTGTCCTGTGTTGTCTCATGTTACAAAATTAAGATGGACAGGTTCCAATTTCAGCAGCTTCTGAGGCACTGGCAGCTCAAAGGCTAAGCCAGGGTACATTCTCTTCTTGCAGCAGGACTGAGCAGAGGGGCCCCCTGGCCTTTGCTAATCAGATGGTGAGTGAGTGGCAGTGCCAGCCCTCTCCAGGCTGCCTCTCATCTGTGATCCAGGGCTGGAGACGCTGGCTTCAACTTCTCTGTTCTCAAGTTCCAGGACTCCAAGTCATCCTCAAATTAGCCCAGGGCATGCACATTTATGGAGTTTAAAATGAACCGGCTTTTTGTTTCTGGCATCTGGTTTTTAAAAGTGCCATTAGGCTAGCCTTCCATAAATAAGCAAGTTTATGGAGCACTCACTTGAAGTTTAAAAATGTTACATAAAGGAGCCATTTGCATGAATTCTAATTTCTTATGCATTTGAGGCTAATGATTTAGATAGACATAAATTCAGTTTTGCTTACTGAAATCACCTAGGCAGAGGCCAAGCCATGTAGTGGAAAGGGCAGGTTTGGCCCATGCCCAGATTCTAGCTGTTATCAGCAGCGTAACCTTCAGGCAGTTGCTTAAAAGAGCCTCAGGTTTCCTCATCTATAAAATAACAGCATCTGCCTTGCATGGTGTCAAGACCTGGAAATGGCACGGTGGCACATGGCAGGGCCCAACAACTGAACCATTAGGAGCAGAGAGCTGGCATGAATCTCTTAACACCCCACTGAAAGCAACCAAAAAATGCTCAACAAGGTGGCAGCTGTCACCCCAGGAACCCTCCCCACGGCCAGGCCATATTCCATGGGACCATCATCTGTGGAGAACGCAGGTGACTCCACCATGCAGTAAGGTCAAACCCCTCTCCCTGGTGATCTGCCCTTTCTGAGCTTGCTCTCAGAACCCTCTCCTGGCCTGAGAATCTGAAGGACTCAGTGGGATCCAGAGGTGCAAAGGGAGCCCGGGGAGTCCTGAGCTTGGTCGATCATGCGCTAAGAAACCAGGTGGGTGTGCTTGGGGGTGGGGTTACTTTAGCAGGATCAGCAGGGGCTGGAACAGCTGTCAGGCAGCTGTGTCACAAGTGGGGCAGTTGTCAGGACAGGCCTTGAGGTGCCCTAGAAATGTCACAATGATGGACAAGACCACCCAGACCCATACCTGCAGAAAAAGAAACTGATCTGGGCTGTGTGAGGTGGAGGGAAAAAAAATCAATTCCAGAAGCCACCAGGCAGGGTTTCAGGAGTGGCTTTAGCCTGGCCTGGACACTCTTGTTGGGTTTGGACATGTGGGGACCTGGTTATGTTCTTAATCTAGCAGGCAAAACTGAAGCAGCCAGCTTCAGTTGACGTGGTAGCTCAGGCCTGTTGCCAGCTTCCCACAGAATTCACATAGACAACTCTCAACAGTCACCCCCTGGTGTGGCTCTGGGATCCAATGCTGCACCCAGGACAAAGTTACTGTGGGGTTGAAGCCTGCTGCCCAACAGCTGTGAGAAGAAATGGTTTGAAACACCTTTCCAGCTGCCCGCTCCTTTTTTGACTGTGAACATAGCAGAAAAAGAATAAAAAGTAGTAAGTTATTGGATGCTGTTAAAATAGCCAATATTTCATGTTTCAAGTTAACATGAAAAGCTCATTCCAATGATTTTATTCAATCAACAGAACATGATCTCAGTGCTTCAGCCACCTCAGTAGGGCCAGGACTCTGGAGGCACTTTTTGGGCCACCAGGCCACTGTTAACTTTATGGGGAGCTGTAAGGACTTTACAGATCTGGTTACATTCTCTCATGTTACACATAGGGAAACTGAAACTGCAGCAGGCAGGGGATCTCCTGATTTTCAGCTTCTCAGTGGGGGAGGGCTGGCAGCCCTGCTCTCTGGGCTGAATGCAGTAAGAGGCCCGTAGTAGACTGGCGGGAGGGATGGAGTGTGGTGAGGGGACCTCTGCCCTTCAGCCATTCCTGTCCTACACATGAGAAAGTTGCTGAGAAGGGAAGGGACTTGCCTAAGGGCCAGGATGAGAACTTGGCCTTTCCTGCCTCTCAGACTCCTGCTTCCACAAAGGACTGGTACATGGTGCATAGCTAGCTTAATGAAAGTGATCAGGTTAAAGACTTCATATACAAATAATCTGAGCAAATGAGTAGATAAAACTGGTTCTCCTGCGATGGTATAACCCTCATGAGCTGCCCTGTTTCTGGACTAATGCCCAGGGAAGGGGTAGGAAACGCAGTGACAGCACGAGGCACTCAGACAACCTGCACTTGGGCCAGCAGCTCCATGACTCCTTCTTTAGTGAGGAAGACTGCCTCACCAGTGTTCTGGCACCAAACCTCAAAATGTGCAGGGTCCTCCAGGGCCCGCTTGCCAGCGACTATCACAAAGGGGTAGCCAAATTTGTTGGCATCTTTCAGTCTGTTTCCAATGGTCAGATGGGTCCGATCGTCCAGCAGGATCTCCCCTTGGAGCTGAGGCACACTTTCTATGATGTGGTCGTGCAGGTGCTCTACGAGCTCTGTGGCCGCTGTTTCCTTGCTGCCCTTCTTAGGAGGGATGAGGCAGACTTGGTAAGGGGCAAGAAGTCTGGGCCAGCGGATGCAGTCTTCTGTAGAGAGAACTTCAATGGCAGCGGCCAAGATCCGTGTCACACCGAGGCCATAGCACCCCATTTCAGCCAGGGATAGTTCGCCGTGGGAATTGACAAACTGGGCATTGAAAATGGAGGAGTACCTGGTACCCAGGTAGAATGTGTGCCCCACCTCAATGCCTTTGGTTTCAGTCAGAAGGCCCTGGCAGGCAGGGCAGTTTGTTTGCGACGAGTCTAGAGTCTCCTTGTTGGCCGAGAAACTGCAGCTGGGACAGATGACAAGCCGGTCCTCTCCAACATCCACTGGCAGCTGGAACTCATGAGACATGGTGCCCCCGATGCTGCCCACATCTGCCTGAGCCTTGATGAATCGCAGCCCTAACCTGTTAAAGAGGCTGCAGTAGGCATCGCATACCAGGCTGTAGGTCTGCCGGGCAGCCTCTGGGGAGGAGTCGAAGGTGTACATATCCTTCATGTAAAACTCGCGGCCACGGAGAAGACCAAAGCGGGGCCTGGGCTCATCCCGAAACTTCCTTGTCACCTGGTACAGCAGGAATGGAAGCTGCTTATAGGACAGATTCTTCTGGGAGGCGACCAGGGCCGTAACAGCTTCCTCGTGAGTTGGTCCTAAGCAGTATTCTTTGCCATGCCTGTCTCTAAGCCTCAGGAGCTCCTTGCCCATCAACTGCCAGCGGCTGGTGGCTTGCCAGAGCTCTGCTGGGCTGAGGTTGGGCATGTCGATTTTCTGGCCCCCAATGGCCTGCATCTCCTGGTCTATCACCCGTACCAGCTTCTCCATGGCGCGGACTGTGTAGGGCAGGAGGTGGTAACAGCCTGGGCTTGCCGGGAGGATCAGGCCTCCCAGCAACATCAACCGCTGGCTCTTACACGTCAGACTGCCAGGCCTGCCCTCCAGGGACAGCAACTGGTCTTCCCGCAGGTTCTGTGGCTGGAACATGCGGGACAATACCAGGCGCTGCCCTCTTGCCGGGGCACAGTGCTGACACCTATGGGGAAAGGACCTGGAGAGCTGGGGAGTACTGGTGGCCAGCCTGGACCCAACTCTGCATCTTGTCAGCAACCCTTCCATGGCACCCAGAACTGGATCACAGCACCTGGAGAGAAACGGGGCATGGGAGTGATGTTAACGGGGTCCTGATACCACAGCAGCCTCTTGGTCTGGCCTCCAGCAAACTTCCAAACAGCCATGGGAATGCTTCAGTTTCTAATATCCTAGCACATCAAAGCACTACTTCCCTTCCATTTTTTCAAAAAATTCATCAGCCCTCGGCCCTGTCATTCCTGCCCTTCACCAGCTCCATGGCCTGCAGCTTGGTACAGGCTGCCGTCACCTCCCCGCTGGGCTGCTGCAACAGCCTCCCCATGCACAGGCCTCAGGGCTGCATTCCTGCCCTCCCCAACCCATTCTCTACACCACAGCCACAGAGAGGCATCCAACACACTATGGGTAATAGCCTTTCTTGCTGGAAATAGCTTCCCGCTGCCCTGAGAATGAGGCGTAAGCTTCTGACCTTCTGGAGACACATGCATCCCCATCCTTTTTGTCAGCTGGGCCCCTCAGGCTCAGCTCCCTGCTTCAGCTACACTGTGCTCACTCTTAAACACAGCGCCTGTCCCTTCATTACTCATCTTCCAGGCCTTGGGACTGATACCCTTGTCCCATTGCCCAGATCTCAGAAGACTGGCCCCTGAGCAGCCCACTGGCCCCTGTCAAACACCAGCCACTGCCTGGAGCAGTGGCTCATCTGGCTGCCGGATTCTCTCCAGACACTGAGCCCTGCAAAGGAAGGACCAGTCCACTCACCATGACATCCTCAGCAGGTGGTAGGCTGTCCTAGATGCTGCTCAATGAATAAGAATGTTTCTTTGTGGTTTTACAAGACATTCACAAGTTTCTGATGCAAGTTCAACCTTCCACGAGGGACTACACAAAAAAATGATTCACCTACCACCTAGAGTGGTTGGCTTTATTATACATAAGCTACAATGGCTTTCTTCTCTTTTGTTATATATTTGGGATATACTTCAAGAATGGAATGAAGGAACTCAAAAGTATAAACGCTTTTAAGGCTGGTTTATATCACCAAAGTTAGCGAATACCTCTACTTTTCAGCACAGTCCAAGGAGCCAGACTCCCCAGCAGAATGCTGAAGTTACCGATGTTGCTCAGCTTCGAAGCTTTGAACACTAACATCTTCAGACCCACTAACTGCTCCTTTTCTACCACAGGCAGTCTCCTCATTTACCCCTGTGCACGGTACAAATATGAAAAGGCTGGGAGGCATGTGACTGAGTACAGTTCAGAGAACAGTGCAGTGAAGGAAGAAAGGATCCCCACTATAGTTTGTTCAGAATGGCATCAAAGCTTTTCATATTTTGAGACCAACATGTCTTTTCCCTACCGTTTCCCTAAAATGCTCCGAACTGTTCATCATTCCCAGAATAGGGCAACCTCCACCAACACCCAGTGACTCCAACTCACCCTTCAAGGTCCACTTACTCCTTCTCCAACACGTTCCAAAGAGGGCATTACTTCCTTCCCTGTGCTCCCTCTGCACACACCCCCTCAGAGAATACTGTACTGGAATCACTGCCAAGAAAACTTTTTTGAGACCAGCTCTTTGTAGTCCAGGCTGGCCTTGAACTTGCTATATAGCCCACACTGGCCTCACACTTCTGATCCTCCTCAATCTCCCAAATTGAGACACTGTATGTCAGGCACTGGGATTATATCCTGTTTCATGCTCTGTGAAACTGTGTTCATGAGGCTTCCTACTTCGTTAGATTTCAGGATCTTCTAGCACAATACCTATTATTTAGGTTATTCCTATTTCTTGGTCAAATTTATTATTAAATAAAGAGGAAAGAGACACAATGATATAACTACCTGGAAAACTTAGGTAAAAATTTTAAGACCCTCCCCCCACCAAATACACATAGGTCTCAGTTCAAACCCCTCTGCTTAAACAGAATGATTACTATTTTTGGTCTTTTGAGATAGGGTCTCACTATGTTGTTCAGGCTGGCCTCAAACTCAAGTGATACTCCTGCCTCAGCCTCCCCAGTGCTCTGATTACAGGCGTGTGCCACCATATGCAGCGATTAGTACACTGGACCCTCGAGTTATGACCAGTCCCACATGCAGACAACCTGGATTACAACCAGAATTTTAGGTTTCACTTATGACCAAAGACTTATGACCTGAATGCCAGCTGCCTGTATGGTTGCAAAGACTCACGATGCCAGAAAAGCATATGTAAGCATCAGTCTGAGCCCAGATGCATGTGTCTGTGGGTATGATTTCAGTCAGTGCTTTATATAACTGCTACAATTACTGGTATCAAAATGGCCCCAAAAAAAGCTAGAAAAGAAGCTAAGGAAGGAAGGAAAGGTAAAGAGAGCAATCAAAATTGGAAAGAAGGAAACTGTGGAGAAATATGAGTGGTATTTGAGTTACTGATATGTACAGCATGTTGAAATCCACCATCTCAACAATCTTACAGAGCAAAGACTTGTATAAAGAAGCCAGTGTTGCTAAAGGTGTTACTCAAATTAGTAAATCAGGATCAACAGTGTGAGACAAGGTAGAAAGTATGGATAAACAAAAGGCAGATGAAAACAAAACAAAACAAAAGGTAGATGGCAGGTTATAGACTACCTGAGTGTAATTTGTGAAAAAGCCAGGCATATTAATGCAGATCTTATAAAGGACAATCCATCAGTGAATGATGAGTGAAGCATTTTGTGCCAGTAAGGGATGGTTTCACAATTTTAAAGTGAGAACTGGAGTTCATAGCATAACTAGGCATGGTGAAGCAGCCAGTGCTGATAAAAAGGATGCTGAAAATTACATATACCACTTCAAAATGATGACAGACAAATGGCTTTTGCTCTCATCAGGTTTTCAACTCTGATGAAACTGGCCTTTTCTGGAAGAAAATGGCCCAGAGAACGTACATTACCCAGAAAGAAAAGAAAATGCAAGGCCACAAGCTTATGAAGGATAGGCTAACCTTACTGCTGTGCCAATAAGTGATAACCTTAAGATAAAACCACTCTTGGTTTATCACTCTAAGATCCCTAGAGTGTTCAGAAAACATAAACTCATGAAGAATACGCTGGGGGTTATGTGGAGAGCTAAAGCAAAAGTCTGGGTAACAGGAGTACCCTTTCTTGAGTGGCTCAGGGAGGCTTTCTGTCCTATGGTTAAGAAATATCTAGAGGACAAAGGTTTACCACTCAAGGCAATGGACAATGCTCCTGTTCACCCATGAGATTTGGAAGAACTAGCTGAAGAACTCCCATGGCTCCCAGTTGGGTTCCTCCCACCTAATACAACTCTTCTACTGCAGCCTGTGGACCAGTAGGTTATAGCTAACTCTAAGAAGCTATACACCAAGGAACCGTTTCTGAACTGTTTTCAGATGGTCACAGATACAGGTTTAACCCTTAAAGAGTTCTGGAAGGAACATTACAACATTTTTTCTTATGTGGGGTTAAATGATGACCATCTGGACCAATGTCTCTCTAAGGACACTAAGACCTGCCTGGAAGAAAGTGTGGACTAAAGTTATACAGGAGAGAGACTTTGAAGGCTGTGTAGAGGAGCCTGAGCCTTCATTTGACCCTGTGGTTGATGACACTCTCCCTATAGCAGAGTCCTTAGACTTGCAGGTAGACAGTGGTGATGCTGAGGAACTAGTGGAGGAACACTCAGAGGAATTGTCTACAAAGGAACTTCAATAACTTCTGGCTGAGCAATAGAGAAAGGCAGTTGAGGCGTTTTCTGAAGAGGACAGGGAGTATCAAGAATCAGTGCAGCAAAATTTTCTGAAATAAAGGAAATCCTGAAAAAATGGACAGAGCTACAAACATTTGTAGAGAAGACTCACCCAGAGAGAAAGCCAATCATTGCATTCACTTGCTTAATGACAATGTCATGTCATAATACAGAACAGAGTTAAAGAAAAGACAGAAACCAACAACTTTAGACCACTTTTTAGTTCTGAAAAGATTGAGACCTAGTGAGCCAGAAGCAGGTCCTACTGGGCTACAGACTCTCCTAACGAGAGAAAGGATACCAGAGAGCCAGATTCCTGATATTCTTATGGAAGGGGACTCTCCTTCCAAACAATAACCTCACTGCATTTATCTTCCCTTCCTGCAAATCAAATACATCAACTTAAATGGTGAGTACAGTATGAAATGGTTGTTTCTAGTAAAGTAGGCACATTTTATAACTTTTTGGTGAATACACTGGAAAAGTATTGGTGTATCTGGTAATTTTTTTTTTTTTTTTTTTTTGAGACTGGGTCTTGCTATGCAGTACAGGCTGGCCTGGAGCTCACTTTGTAGCCCAGGTTGGTCTCAAACTCCCAACAACCCCCCTGCTTCAGCCTCACCAGTGCTGGGATTACAGGCATGTGCCACCACGCCCAGCGTGTCTGATAAACTGTACACATTACACAACTCTTTTTATTATGAAAATGTTAGTTAAGGGGTGCTTTGGAAGGTTCAGAACCCATTATGGGTATTTCCATCATTTCTTATGGGAAAAATAGTCTTGACTTACAACCAGCCCTCGAGACAAATTGAATTCATTAAGTCAAAGGTCCACTGTATTATTCTTTAAGGTTATCCCGATACCACGAATATAATAACTAATGTGGTCCAGTGCTTCGGACTAGCAACAATCCTGAGTCATTAAAGTTTTCCAGTACCTGCTCTGTGTGGGGCAATCAGGCCCTCCAGCTCACGTCTTTTCTAAGCGTTTAGCCTCCCGACCATCCTCAGTCCAATCAGGAGAGCTGCACACATGCGTTTAGAGGGCCCGGCACACAGGGTTTGCTGCTGTTATAACTGGGCGCAACTTACAGAAAAGGGAGGTTCTGAGACGTGAAGTCACTACAGTGACTGAAATGGGCACAGGGTAACCTGGAGGGCAAGGAACCAGCTTCCAAACCCCGCAAAGCCTCCATCCTGACCGTGCTGCAGAGCAGCAAGGCAGCCCCACCTTAGGCTCCAGAGCGGCTCGGCCTCCACCTGGCTGACTGCTCCAGCCACCCCACCCCGACCCCGCCCTGCTTGCCCACCCTGGGAACCCCGCCCCTCTCACGGCTACCTAGTTGGAGGAGGTAGGAAGAGCTGCTCTCTTTACGGCAGAGGAGGCCTAGAGCAGGAGCGGAACGCTATCACGGTCTATGTGATTACAACCCAGCCGCCACTCCGAGTACAGACGCACGTGGGAACACGAACACCGCGTCCTGGGCCCCCGCGCCCACAACTAGGTTCTCCCTTCATTCCTCCTTCCTGTGGCCCACTCAGGACCCACCACCACCCACGCTCACCAACTACAGTCTCAGCGAGAGTGTCCGCCGCGCGGGGCCAGGGCGCCTGCGCCTGCCCACCCTAAGCCCCGCCTCCCACGCAACTAGCCAATCCCAGGCTGCGGGTACGGAAATAGAGTGGGACGCTCTGGCCCCACCTCTCTCTAGATGCCCTGGTTAGGTTTTACGGAAGTTGAGAGAGAAACCAGCTCTTTCCTAGTTCATAGATTGTCCTGGGTAGCAATGGATAGATTACCGTCCCGGAAGTGCCCTCTAGGATTTAGGGAGGCTTAACTCTATGGTTAAAGTCAACCGCCAAAGATTTGAGTCTGGTGTCATCGCCTACTGTCACTCCCCGTCCCCATTCTCCGTGTGGGAGGAAGGCTGGTGATCATGACAACCCCCAAGCGTCCTTTCTAGTTCCCTGTCTGACTTACCAGGCTTTTAATGTGAATAACTTTAAAACTGTGTAACAGTTTGAGCATGACACCTTTATTACAGTGTCCAAGACAGTTTTTGGTTGTTTTTTTTTGTTTTGTTTTGTTTTGTTTTTGTCTTTTTTTGAGACTGGGTCTTGCTATGCAGTTCAGGCTGGCCTTGAGCTCACTTTGTAGCCCAAGCTGGTCTCGAACTCACAAGGATCCTCCTGCCTCAGCCTCGTGAGAGCTAGGATTACAGACGTATGCCACCACGCCCGCCCCAAAACGATTTTTAAAAAAACAAAAATTCAAACTTTCACAAAATATTTTTTGAGCTGCTACCTTGTGCCAGCCACTTTGCAGACACTGAGCATAGTGAAACGAATGTAACAGACAAAATTCCCTGTATTCAGTTAAGTTTACATTCTTGAGAAAGGAAAGAGTCCATAAATGGGTATGGTGAAATTTACGCGGGCTGGTCAGGGATATAGCTCAGCTGTATGAGCGTTTGCTTGGCAAGCGCAAGGTCCTGAGTTCGATTCCCGCTGCCCGAAATTTATGCGGGCCAGGGAAGAGGGCAGAAAAGAATTTAGTGATTGAAAGACAAATAGAACTTTGAAAAAAAAAAGAACTTTGATACAATTAATTTTTAAGAGATCAAAATTGAAGCAAAAAAATCTATAATAAAAAAATACAAATTTTAGGTAAAGATCTGATCTTTAAACGTTAGAGGGCTAGAGATATAGCTCAGCAGCACAAGCACTTGCCTGGTAAGTGCAATGGTCCTGAGTTTGATTCCTGATACACCCCCCAAGAAAGGAAAAAAAAAAAGGACAAGTTGGAAGGAAGGAGAATGAAGTAGGGGCAGGTGGTGTGGCTGCAATTTAAAGGGGGATGATTACGGAGCGTCTCACTCACTTTTTATTTTATTTTTTCATTACTTGGTATTGAAATCAGGGTCACTCTACTGCTGAGCTGGATCTCCAGGCCATTTATTTATGTGTTTATTTACTTAACTTATTTATTGTTGAGACAGAGGCTCACTAAATTGCCCTGAGTGGCTTTGAATTTGTGATCTTTCTGCCTCAGCCCTCAGGGTAGCTGGGATTAAGGGCGGGAGCCATCTCGGCCAGCTGAGAAGGTGAGCAGGTCAGCAAAGACCTGAAGGAAGGGAGAGCCGCGGCTTGTAGGTATTGGGAGTGCCGCATCTTGGTTTGCATCTTACTTCCCACAGCTCCTAACAGCGCTTGGCCCACAGGCAGGAGCAGTGGCTCAGCCTCAGCTGCGCTGGAATGGGGGGGCGGGGTGCACAGCCCCGGCCCCACCCAGGGGTGACTGTCGATCTGGGATGGGCCTGGACATTAATATTTTATGGGCTCCGCCAGAGTGACTCTACCGTGCCTAGTGGGTTGGACTGGCCCGCCCACAGGAAAGGCGGTGAGGCGGCTCAAGAGCCGGCAGATGCGTGTTAGCGTCATGATCTTAAGGTGAGGGCAATGCTGCTCAGTCCCAGCCCAGGGCTAGTGTCTGCCCACATCCATGCGGCTGCGCAGAGCTGACTGGATCTGAGTTTTGACCCAAGAGCCCTGCTTTGCTTCCGTGGCCTAGCACTGTGGGTGGGGCTTTCCTCAGGGAACACAATCCCAGCCATTATTCCCACTCCTCCTCTTTGGGGGTGGGACCAAATCATTTTTGGACTATTTTGGAATCCAAAAATCCAAGGTAGATTTTATTTCTCTCAGCTCCCCATGCACATGGTTACATCCCTTCCAATCCCAGAACAGCCAGGCAGGCGTGCTCTGCATCCTGAGGGGTTAATTATTTCTCAATTAGCAGTTCCCAGGCTGTAGAGCATAGTGCTGTGGAGAGGCCTAATGACTTGCTGTGTACCGCATCCCCACATCTTTGGAGCACTTACCAGTGGTAACTAATTAATGCTCACGACCCCCCTGGGAGATGAGCCAAGAACGCTGCATTTTACCTGAGTTTGCAGGAGGCTGGAAGCCTGGAGCAGCGGAGCCTGGTCGGGACACCTATTGTCAGATTTGCTCCCCATGGAGACAGTCCAGGTGGTGGAGACCCCCCCCCCCCCGGGTAGGGGAGACCTAGCATCTGGCCCTGTCACTGCTAGCGACTTCCTGTGTGCCATTTCAGGCAATCAGTTCATCAGTAATATATTGGAAGCCTTGAGTCACAGAGTTCATTCCTGGGAGCCCTGTGTCAGCTAGCGGGTAGCTCAGTGGTAGAGTGCTTGCCTAGCATGCAGGAGGTCCTGAGTTTAGTGCCACCAAAAAAATAAAAATAAAGCCAGGCGTGGTGGTGCACGCCTGTAATCCCAGGAGGCTGAGGCAGGAGGATTGCCATGAAATCAAGGCCAGCCTGGGGTATATAGTGAGTTCAACGCCAGCCTGAACTGCATAGCGAGACTCTCTCAAACAACAACAAAATACCCAAGAACAAGTACTTTATGAAGAATAGAAATGTACATCTTACAGTTCTGGAGGCTGGGTAATTTGACATCAAAGATTTGGAACGTGATGTCTGCTGAGGCTGTGCTCTGCTTCCAAGATGGTACCTTCTTGTTGCCTCTTCCACAGCAGCAGGGGCCAGAAAGGGATGGGTCCTGTGCCCTCACGTGGCAGAAGAGGTGGCCATCAGGAAAGGCCAGGCAGCTCTCAGAAGCCTCAGGAGCCTCTGTCTAATATGTTTCTGAGGGCAGAGCCCTCATGACTTCATCACTTTTCAACACCCCCTCGTGTGGTCCTCCTTGAGGTTTAAGATCCAGCGTGAATTTTGGAGGGGCACATCCATTCAAACCATAGCAGGGTCCTGCCACACTGACACCTACAATGCACTATTGCTTGGTGTAAAGTTGCTTCCCTTGCTCCCACTGAGTCAAGGATTCCAGGGTGAGCCATTTGTTTGGCAGTCAATCCCAGGAGGCACTGGTAGGGAAGTGGGCAAGTGACCCGGGGAGAGGAGAGGGGTACGGGGTGTGATGGTGTGCAGGTGACTGCTGTGGGCCCCTGGGCCTCACTCTCCCTGGGGACCTCTGGAGACTGTGGACCGTGCCTCAGAATGACCCTACTGCTGGGATTCAGGAGGCTGAGGCATTTGTCCTCCAGTTTCCTTTCATTGTTGGCTCAAGACTGCCCCGTGGTATTGAGTATGCCATGTATGCTGCTGGCTGAGTGGTCTTCCAAGGAGGGTGGTGGGTGTGTGGACGAGGATCACTTGGGAACATGCCAGGTGGGTGAGGGTAAGATGTGGATAGGGCACCGAGGTTGATATAGGAAAAAATATAACTCCTGGCCCATTAGATGTCAGATGTGCACCCACTGTGAGGTCTCACAACATCGAGGAATGAAGTTGTGAGTGAGGGAGGAAGTTAAGAGAATTTCACTGGAAATAAGAAGATGAATAGCTCCTGGATTTCTGGGAGGGCGTCCTGAGTAGGAGGCCACTGAGGCCATTTGTCACGGGTATTTTATACTGCAAAGTCACAGCATGGGTACAACATGGTTGATCATAAGTAGAGCCACTTAGCTGATACTGATCTGATAGGGAAGAGAGGCGGTAGCAAGGGTACATGGTGGGCATCATTAACCTTAGCTTATCTGTAACTTCTGACATAGAAAGAACAAAGGCATTTTGGGGGAATGGGATGGGTCCAGATGTTCTAGTCTCCCAGCTGGATGTCTGATGCCTAACTAGACTTACTGGACCAGGTGGTGCAAATTACAATATGGTCTCAAATTGCTGTTTATCCTTCAGGGAGCCTCGAAAGCATTGCCATTGCGTCTCCATCCTGAAGCCTGGCTCCCTTCAGATACACCCTCAGCCATACTCCTGATGTCTTTATTTTTCTATGCTGACTTCCTTGTGGGCCCAGTCCCTCTCTGGCTGTATATGGATTTCTGTCTAATTTAGTTGTCTATTATAAGGTGATTCTTGAGCCGGCCTAATAGGATAAACTACTGTCTTGTTTAAGGTTTTACTTTTCAGGGTTGTTTTGTTTTGTTTTTTGAGACAAGGTCTTGCTATATAGTCCAGGCTGAGCCTTCAACTGACTTTGTAACCCAGACTGGCCTTGAACTTGAGGCAATCCTCCTGCCTCAGCCTTCCAAGTGCTGGGATTACAGGCCCCACTATCCTTTTCAGGTTTCTGATGCTCAAACTAAGCCCCATTCTGAGAAAGTCACTAATAGTTGTGCCGGCAAGGTAGCACAGAGCATTTTTCCTCTCTTTGGCCTGGTTGGAAAACTTTGGGAAGGTCTCTCATGGTTGAGCTTGGGTCATATGTTTGCTTTTGTTGACAGGGTTGGGGGTGTTATAATTGACAGCTTCCACCTCCACTCACAGTTAGGGGAGGAGCAGTTAGTGGCCCACCCAAAAGGTGGTGTGTTCTTCCCAGCAGGGAGGGGTCCCGGCTGAGAGACCTGAGCTTTGTTTCTTTTCTTTTTTTTGTCTTTTTGAGACAGGGTCTTGCTATGCAGTTCAGACTGGCCTTGAGCTCACTTTGTATCCCAGGCTGGCCTCAAACTCATTAAGAATCCTCCTACCTCAGCCTCCCGAGTGCTGGGATTACAGGCGTGCGCCACCATGCCCTGTTCCTGTTTCTTTTATTTTGTGGGTGACAAAACTCACAGAGGATCTGCAGTCTGATGAAAGTTTGTGTGCCAAAGCAGAACGAGCCCCACCACACAAGCCTGACTGGCTTGGAAACATAAACATGAAACGCCATCCAGACTTTATGTGTTCACTTTATAGAGCAACATATGTGATAGAGGAGAACATAATCCAAAGCCCAAATAGCTAAAAAGCCACTTATTAGTCCTGCTTGTGCAGGCAGTGTGACAGGGCCTCTGGACAGCTGCGTCAGTTTCCTCTCTGTGAGAAATGGGAGTGAGGCTGACACGACACAGGCTCTTGAGCACGGACTGCATAAGGTGTGTGAAACACGAGTATGGCGACCGGCAGTGGCATGTCTTCAGGAAACCCTTTTGGTGGCGATGCGGACACTGATCTCCTGTGACCTGTCGGTGGGGTTCCTCCCTGCTCGGTTAAATTGTCCTCCTGCGGCCACCGGGAGGCCAGCAGGGGCTGTGCAGAGCTCTGTGGGAGTCTGCTAGCCCCTCGCTTGCTAAGCACACCCCTCACCTCCTCCTCTCTAACACACAGAGAGGCTGTGTTCTGTCCAGGCCCGGGAGGGGCAGGTGCTGAGCTGGGTGGGACAGCAGGAGCGGGGACCAGGGCCAGCTGTCGAGCCGGGGCGCAGCCTGGAGGAGCAGGGGGAGCCACTGCATTGCCCCCACTGGCCAATGTGCTGGTGACTTTGGCCAGTGCAGCTGGGGTGCCTGCTCCCTGGAGCCATGCCCACAACGCTGGGGATCTGTGCCCATCTGCTTATTTTACTGCTGAGCGGTAAAGGGCTGAATGTCATTACCCTCCCATTCCTTAAACAAGAAAAAAGTTAACAGCCTGAGACAAGGAGGTATTTCACTTCATTTGGCATCCAGCCACCATCACCCAGGCAGGGTGCTCGCTTGGGGTTCGCTGAGGGCAGGGAGGGGAACTGCTGCCTTCTGCTTTCAGCTGCCAGCTCAGCTCCGCACAGGTGCAGGCCCGTGAACAACTCCAGCACTGGGACAGGCGCTGTAACAGAAAGAGCACCGAGGCTGGGCGGAGGCACCGCGTTCAGAGTCACTTTGTTTATTAGGATCTGTTCTGTGTGGCCCCAGAAGGCGAACTTAACTTGGGGACAGAAATGACAGAAAAGATTTCAACTCAGTTAAAAGCAGATTACAAAAACTTAGGCTGCTGGGGAAAGGAGCTGATCGCTTTATGAGGCAGTGGGCTGTTCACCTGCCAGAGATCTGCAACTCTTTCAGTCCTCCTTTCAGAACACTAGGTCGAGAGCAGAGTCCTGCTCTAGACCGGAGGCTGAGACAGGTCATGGCTAAGGTTCACACTCTCATCTGTGACCTTGTCCGGCGTCTCAGTGGCCTCACATGTGAAATGCGGGTTACGATGCCTACCCTGCAGGGCCATGGAAGGGATGCAGTAGGAGTGCATGCGTGACGTCCAGCGGATGGGGTTTCCTATTTCCCTTCAGCTGTGGCTACTGTGCAGACATTCCTCACAGAAGTTAGGATGGTAGTTTGTTGACTGCTTATATGCTCAGTGTGCATGAGATCACAGAGAGAAAGCTTCTTGGAAAGGTTATGACAGGAAGGGGGCTGTGGATAGAGAAATGCATGACTCTGGGGACAGGAAAGGCTAGGAAGGGAAATGGGGTAAGGACAAACTTCACCAGCTTCGGAGTCTGGCCAGCAAGCTGCCTTGAACTCAGTGGGCTTGTTTAGGGCAGCAGAAGGAGATGGGGTCCCACCCTAGGGAAGGTCGCTGTCACAGTCTTGGGAGAGAAGAGGGGTAAGTGGCTGGGGATATAGCTCAGCAGCACAAGCACCTGCCCGGTAAGGGCAAGGTCCTGAGTTCAATTTCCGGTACCAAAAAAAAAAAAAAAAAAAAAAAAAAAAGATTTTAGGACTGTGTTCCCAGCATATGAAATTCTAATATTTCCCTCATTCTCTTGTAGAAAGACCAAGGGCAGGTGGCTGGGACCCTTCAAGTCCCCCCAAGAATAGAATAGAGAAGTCAGGTAGAGGTTCTGTGCATGAGTTTTATTTCAAGGAGTTTGGGAGTCTTTTCAGGCCAAGCTGACAGGAATGAGGCCTGCTGGAAAATGGGTGCGCGAGGGCCGGGACACCCAGGCTTGAGTAAGGGCCCCTCCCCAGCCCGCTGTCCGGGGGCCCCGCCCTCTGTCCTAGCCCAGGCTCAGTTGAGCATGGCTCCTGAGACTCAAAGACAGGCACTTGAGCGCAGGGACTAGAAAACCGCCACAACTGAGGCAACACCCTTCTGTTTCTCTCAGCAGATTCGAAGTCAGCTTAATTCTGTCCCTCAGCGGGCTCAGTTTCCTAGCGGCCTCACACCGGTTTCCAGAGTCCTTTGCCATCTGAAATCAGGTCTTTCTGCCACAGCGGGAATTTGGAATGGCAGGGTTTCAACGTCCCCATTCACAATTCCTGAAAAGGAATCTGATTGGCTCCGCTTACAAGCCAATGGCAGGGCGGGCCCAATCACCTGGGGACGGGGCGAGGCCTCGCCCTTGCCCAGAGGCCCGGGCCTTTGCCGGGGCTCAGAGGGAGAAGGCCCGCCGGCCTCGCCGCTCCCCCGCACAGTCCCCAGCGCGCTCCATGGTCTCGAACAGCAGCCGCACCAGCCCCAGCCGCCCCTGGGCCACCAAGGCACGGGCCAGTCCCAGCACCTCATCCGTGTGGCCGCGCCACACGCGTTGCAGCTCCTGGCGCAGGCTGGCCTCCGGGTACTTGCCCTGGGCGTGGCGCAGCCAGGCGTCCACTTCGTGGCCCAGCTCGCCGTCGCTCAACTGCGCCTGGCTCCACTGCGCCAGCAGCGCCTCGAGCAGGCAGCCGAAGCCCTCGGGGCGGCTGGAGCCCGCGTCGTCCAGCTCCACGGCGCGCTTGAAGCAGGCCGCCGCGTTGGCGTCCTCGCCCTTGATGCGCAGGCACTTGCCGCGCAGCAGCTGCAGCTCCGGCAGCGCGGCGCCCAGCTCCGACTCTCCGGCCTTGGCCAGGAAGACCAGCGCCTGGTTGAGTGCCGCCTCATCCACCGCCAGCAGCTCCTGCACGGCGTCCACGCCCATGTAGTAGTAGACCTGGGGGCGGGGATGGGGGCTGGATGACGCTCCTTCCAGATTACCCTCCCCCCGCCATCAGTCCCCAGGCCTGCATTCATGCAGCCCCCATGTAATTGCACATCGTGTTTCTGGGCCCTGGAAAGAGACAGTGTTGGAATTTCAGGTATTCCAGGTCCAGCGCTTCCACTCCTAGCCATAGAAGCTCGGAGGGGTCCATTCCTGCCCCTGGGTGTCCCCATACTGCCATCTCTTGGTGACCACTGCCAACACAGGAGGCGCTTCTGGATGGAATGCAGCCCCATGCTTACCACGTGCTCCGGCACCAGGCCTCCTCTGCCTACTCCACTCCTTGCCGCACTGCCTTCCCCTCAGAGGCTGGGGGAGCTGGGAGAGCTGCGCCCCTATTGCTGTCAGAGCCCCACAGGCCGTCAGCAGGTTCTTGGTGAGCCCTCTGCCGACCAGGCCAAGCAGCTGCTCACCTGGCTGATGTCCAGGTAGGTCCTGAGGCCTGGGCACACGCTGACCACTTGTTCGAGGTCGGCCTTGGCCTGGGCCAGGTGGCTCCTGTCGGGCATGCCTCCGAGCCCTGCCTTGGCCCGCTCCAGGTCATGCAGGTAGGCTGTGGTGTGGATCTGCGACAGAAGGCCAGCTCAGAGAAGGTACTCGGACAAGGCCTGTGCCCCCGTCCTGCACCAACCCAAGCCAGTCTTCCTTAGCAGCAAGCGAACGCACGGACGGAGAGCAGCACGGCAGAAAGCCCCACCTCACGGGGCTTGTACTTTAGTAGGGCGAGGGACAGCATGTGGCAAATAAGCAAACAGGACGTCGGAGACTGACTGGCGGCCGGGAGAGCGAGGAAAGCAGGGAAGCACTGAAAGCACTGGCTCTGGCAGGGCGTTGCTGAAGTTGTCAATAAGATGGCCTTTAGAGGCTGCCATATTTCCTTTTTTGAGACAAAATCTCGCTTGCCTCAAACTTGTGATCCTCCTGCCTCCTGACAGCTGGGATTACAGGCGCGTGACACAAGGCCCGGGTCAGAAGCCGCCTGTGGGGTCAGGCCTGCATGAAGTTAGGGAGGCGGTGAATCAGAGACCTGAGAAAGGGATACTGTGAGCACAGGCCCAAGCCGGGGGTGCTAGGAGAGAGCAAGTGCGCCCCGGGCAGAGGCAGCGCCATCATCGCCAGGTCTGACCAAGGTGACCTCCCACACCGTGTGTGCACCCTCTCCTCCGGCCAGCTGGGTGAGGAGTGAGGGTGACCTGAGGAGCCACAGCGGACGGGAAGGCCAGGGTTCCCGCTAACTTGAGTGCAGGACCTTGCGTAAGTTTGCTACCTGCCTGTGCCTGGGAGCCTCCGCTACAGACCGGCACTGTCTGGCCGCTTTGGTGGGATTCTTGTGAGGGTTATAGCCGACCATGAGCAAGAGTAAAATGCAGGGTCACGTAAATGTTCTATGGTTCACTATATGACTAATATCTTTGTCATAATGATCACCACATCAGCTATAGTAAGGGAATTTGCTGCCTGTACTCACTGGCAAAATAATTAGACCATTGAGACCAAGAACAGGAGCAGATTTGCCACTAGTTGCGAAAGGTAGTGGAAAAGATAGGGAAACGTAGGACTTAAGTTTGGAGCACAGCAAGCGCAGAGCCTCAGGTCTCTGCCCCAGGCAGAGGGGCTTTGGCGGCTCGGGGCCCATGGGGAGGCTAGGAGGAAGGCAGGGGTCTCCTGAGTGTTAACTCGAAGTGCTGACTACAGTGGGCGGTGCATCAGCTGAAAATATACCCAGTGACAGCCATCAGTCCCATCCGGGTTCTTAGGATGTATGCGATGCTGAGTTTTACTCACACAATCCAGTAAGTCTCAGAACAACTCTGATCAAGGCAGGGACGGTCACCTCCAGTCCACAGATAAAGAAACAGAGGCTTTGACCCTGGGCGAGAGCACTAGGTGCCCAAACCTGAGTGGTGGCATGGGGTTTGGAGAGGGGCTGCCTGCGCCAGGCAACAGCTCAGTGTGTGATGTTAATCCACTGTGTCACACACCGCCCACCTCAGGTGCTGACTTCAGTGCGGCCTCATTCAGCCTCTGGCCCCCGTCTAAGGGAGGGGTGATGAGCTGCATCTTACAGATTGGGGGACTCAGGTTTGGAGGGGTCGGGGCTTATAACAGTCCTGCAGCAGTAGGTGGAGTGGCAGATCTCAGCTTTGGTCAGTCTGCTCCACCAGGGCTAATCCGGACTCTCCTGGCAGCTCTTGGCTGGTGCTGAGTTAAGGGTCCCTGCATTCTCGCCTCAGCAGCTGTGGGCCTTAGGAGTCCTTGGCTCCCTCCCGCCGTGAAGACTCCAGGGCCTCTGGGCTCTGGGCTCAGGATCTCGGCCCTGGTCCTTGGTCTCAGGATGGGGGCACGCGCCGCAGAGTGACCCACCTTGGCCCTGGTGCAGTATGCCTGCCAGTTGAGCTCTGGATCTCCCAGGACATCCAGGGCCATGTTACAGGTTCCAATGGCCATGTCCTGTTTTCCTAGGAAGTGGAAGATTTTGGCCAGGCGATTGAGGATGAGAGGTTGGTCCTTGGCAATCTCGATGGCCTAGGGAGGGAGGGGGTAGGGGCATACCACGGGTCTGCTCACTCACATGATGGAACCCAGTGCCTTGGGGCGAGCCCCGGGCACTCAGTTCCTGGTCACAGTCATGGTCACAGACACGGCCAGCAGACCTTTCTACACCTGCAGCCTCCCTCCAGTTCATGCCCCCGGCGGGGTAAGGGAAGCACCTCCTCTGTGCTTACGGGGTTTCTAGCAGGGCTGCAGTACTTCCTCCATATTGGCATCCACTGCTGCCCGTTCTAAGTGACCTGCCTCAGGGTCACTCGGCTGCGGGCAGAGCTGGCAATGAGGCCCCACCCACCTTCTGAGCACCCTGACTGGGGGTGGGGGGGGGAGGGCAGAGGCAGTGTGCACACAGGCCTCGGGAGGGCTGCTTAGCGTGCGGAGGGTCCTAGTGTTAGGCGGAGAGGAAGCACGCCAAGAAGAGCTTCTGGAGGAGGAGAAGGCGGAGAGAGAGGCTTAGAGTCAGGGTCCCTCCTGGGTGGGCCACACAGTGGAGGATGACAGCAGCCTTCCGAGCAGGGGTGGCTAGGGACACTCACCTTGCCAAAGCAGTCCAGCGGGTCGGTGCCCGAGTACCCGCAGTCGTGGACGCCCATCGGGGTGGTGGAGAAGGTGTCCTTCCTCTCCAGCAGCATCCCGAGGTAGCACCAGGCCAGAGCTGGGAGAGGAGCACAAGAGGTCCAGGGACGGATGGGGCCAGCGCCACCGGAAGCGTCAGCCCCCACGAAGACAAGAAGGGACGGCAGCACGAAACCCCGGACAACCCACGGATAGGCAGTGACAAAGGTGGGGCAGGCCATGCATGGAGAGAAGGAACACGTCGGGAGGCTCATTATTTACTAGGTCACTGGGGCCCTCCCTTCAGGAGAACAGCGCTCCTCACAGCACTAGCCCCTGTCTGGCCCTGGAGGAAATGGCTCCTCTCTAACAGAGCAAGCCTGGGGCTGAACAGCTGATGGAAGACTGGGAGAGAGAGAAAGAAACGGGGAACAGAAAAGGGAGACAGTGCCAGGGGCAGCAGGGCTAGTGACAGGGTCCACCAGCCCTGCCTGGGGCCCCTACCTCGCTGGCAGGTGTTGGAGGCCTTGAGGACTTGCCGGAGCAGAGCCAGCGTGCGGTTGAAGGCGGGCAGCCTCTTCTGCTCCTCACTGCCCAGCTCCAGGAAGATGCCGTCCAGCCTGGGTCGAGAGGGGGCTGTGGCCTCAGCCCCTCCTCGCCTCCCCAGCTTGCTGCCAGTCCTCCCCTCCCTGGGCGAGCCACCTACCCTTCTGTCCCACCCCCTGCCTGGTGCCAGGCTTAGCCTGCCGGCCGCACCTCTACCCCCACCATCCTGGGCCTGACCTGATGAGGAGTGTTGCCATGGTGAAGTACCAGCCCCTTTTCTCCTCCGTGGGGATCTAGAGAAGCAGAGAGCGGTGCTGCTGTTACTGGGGTGCTTTGGCCGTTGTTCATGAGTGCCCACACTTTCCCTGAACCCCGGGAGGCGGCAGGGCCAGCGGGAAAGGCTTTGTCTTGAATGCCCTGGTTCCAGGCCTGGCTCTGCCGCTGTGGGGCTGGCGGCTTTGGGCCGGTTGCTTAGCTTCTCCGACCACAGAGGATCTGATGAGATGAGCTGGGCACCTCGAAGCTTGGGTGGACCTTTCCCCGCCTCCCTGCACACAGGCCCTGCCCCAGCCTGGCCCGTGCTCCAGCGCCGCCACTCCCCTGTGCCCCTTGGCCCCCCATTCCCGAGCAGCCTCTCTGTGCATGCTGAGTGAGCCCAGCTCTGCCGAAGCCTGGGCCCCCTGCACTGTTTTCCCATTATTATTCTTGCCAACCTTGCTGTGCGTTTAGACCGACATGGGCACCAGATAAAATATTTATGCTGTTATTTATGGGAGTAGCTGCTCCTGCCTTGGGAAGGAATTTTAATGAAAACCAATAAAACCCCCAGTGCATATCATCAGCTCTGCCTCGGGCTCCAGCCCCTCCTTCCACCTTTCTCTCCTGGTGGATCTTCTGCCTGCCCCACGCCCCTGGGGACCCCCATATCACTCTACCCTCCCCAGAGCAAGCAGCTCAGCCAGCTTCCTGAGCCCCTCGTGCATGGCCCGGGTGGTGCCTGCGAACGAGGCTGTGAGAGGAGCTTGCCAGCGGGCTGGGCAACAGACCCAGGCATCGATCCCCCTTGATGGAGTGCTGGACACCCGTTGCCTTGATCACACAGCCAACGGAACACACCGAGGCCCAGAGAGCTAAAGCGACTTGCCCAAGGTCAACCAGCTTGAGTATAAGATTGGGAATTAAATACTGTTTGGCTCCAAAGCTCACGCACCCTTATTATGCCAGGCTGTCAAAAACTGTATTAGGAGGCAAAGTCTGATCGAGGTCCCCCGAGCGAAGCAGACCCAGGGTGAGCAGGACAGACAGGACAGGCCCAGCCAGAGGTGCGGGTTTCAGGTGGTCCTTGAGCAAGCCGCACTTGAGAGGCTGAGGGGGCAGCACATCCCAGACAGAAGGCTTGGTATGAACAGAGGCCTGGGGGCGTGGGGACGGCAGCCTGTGGGCACAGAGCGCAGTGCATGTGAAAGGGAGGGGCTGACCCTGGCCAGGGAGACCAGGGTGGACTGGAGGGAGAGGCCTGTGTGACAGATCCACCGAGCGCTGCGACTGCCCAGCAGGCCCAGCTGGTTGCATTTCTCAGCCTGTTACCCACAGAATCTCCTCTGGATGGCCCTGCCTGGGCCAGGAGGACAGGAGAGGAAAGGTGGGTCCCCTCTTGAGGGCCCTTGGTCTGGCAGGAAAAATAGACCTTAAGACCCACAGCGGGGGGCTGGAGATTTAACTCAGTGGCACAGCTCCTGCCTGGCAAGTGTGAGGTCATGAGTTTGATTCTCAGTACCAGAAATAACAACAACAATAACGACAAAAAAAAAAAAAAAAAAAAAAAACCCACAGAGGAACCATCTGGAAGTTCTTCGCGGCTTCCCAGTGGAGGTGGTGCTGGAGTAGAGTGCTCAAGGATGAGCAGGGACCCCCCAGGGGGACACAGGGGAAAAGGGGTCCAGGAGGACGAGCATGTGAACATGGTGTCAGATCCACATGCAGCCTGGGGCCTGAAGCCCAAGGCAAGGGGTGCGGAAGGGCTGGCAGGGGCACATCCAGAGGCCCCAGTGCCAGTCTCAGGATTCGAGCTCATCTGTGGGCAGTGGGGACCTGTGGAAGGAGTGCAAGCTGGGGAGCACCCAGATCCAGTGTGTGCTCCATTCCCACAACCTTGAAGGGGCTCCTGTTACACAGGTGGGAATGCATATGGACGCCCGCCCGAGGCTTAGCTGTGAACACTGCTGTCTGCAAGGGAAGGGCTTGGGGCATCTCCCAGGAGGGGGAGAATTTCCCTGAGCAAAAGGCAGAGATGGGGTACTGGTTAACCTTATGGGTCTCCTTCCAAGGGCAGGAAGCAGGGGACTCGGATCTACGGTGCCCCTTATGGGCCACACAGGCCAAAGACCTTGACATGGGCCGCCTGCCTTCAGTGTGACCCACGACTTCTGGCTGAAGCCTGCTTCGGGGCCAGCTACACAGTCGTGGCAGGGAGGAGGACCCCCGCGCCCCCGCTCCTGACCAGGGGGAGGCCTCAGTGAGAGCGGGTGGAGTGACAAGGTGGGCAGCCCTGGGGATGAGGTGCCACCTTGTTTACAGAGGAGGAGACGCCACCAGCTCTTGGGTGCTCCGAGTGTAAGGCCTGACCCTGAGGAACTTCTGGCCTGGGGGGAGCCAAGCGGGGTCAGGACGGTCCAGGCGGCTGCTCTGTCCACTGTGACCGGCTTCAGTGCCCAGGGACAATGAGGTCTCAGGCCCCAGAATCTCATCTCACCCCAAGCCCCAGCTCTCCAGGACTGCAGGCCGCCGTGGGGTCCCAGGTGCCCTTCTTTCCCCACAGGTCCCTGTGCTGGGGTGATGTGCCGTCCTCAGGGCTCCTGGTTCAGAACCACCTCCTTGTTTGGTATTCAGGCCAACAGAAGTTAAATTGTGTGCCCAAACCACACAGTTAGTACGTGACAGCTAGGACTTAAACTCCTGCAGCCATGGTTCCTGGCCCAAGTTTCCTTCTCTACAACATGCAGTTATCTCATCAGTCCCTGCATTAAGTGACTGAGTAACTGAGACCAGACAGGTGACTCACCCAAAGCTCATACTAGTTGGCATCAAGGCTTACCTTTGACCCAGTGGTCCGGATAGCCTTTTTTTTTTTTTTTTCTGTCTTTTTGAGACAGGGTCCTGCTATGCAGTTCAGGCTGGCCTTGAGCTCACTTTGTAGCCCAGGCTGGTCTCGAACTCACAACGATCCTCCTGCCTCGGCCTCCCAAGTGCTGGGACTACAGGCGTCTGCCATCATGTCCTGCCATCCAGAAATCCTTGAGCAACGCAGTTTGACCGCTTTTCATTGAGCAGGCGATACCGCCACCTGGTGGCAACATGTCTGAATTACAGGGGCAATTCCTAAGTAGGAGTTGACTCCTTTCTCTCAATTTAAGACTAAAACTGATTTTTTTAAAAAGCCAGATGTGGTAGTGCCTGTAATCTCAGCACTCTGGGAGGCTGAGGCAGGAGGATGGCAAGTTTGAGCCAGCCCAGGTAAGCTAGCAATTTAGTGAGATCTTGGGGATGCACCTCAGTGCAAAGGCCCTGGGTTCAATCCTCAGTGCTTGGTGGGGTTAGGGGGTGGGGAGGGTAGTGCCATTTGTGCGACAAGTTCCAAACGTCCCTCAGCAGCCCCTCAGAGAGCGATATCTGCAGCTGGGGCCAGTATGTGTGGGGCGGAGTTAATGGGTGAGCAGATGGGTGTGGAGGCCTCAGCGTGCTGGGTTTTAGTCTTCCATCCCTGCCAGGCGAAAAGCTGGTGGAGACTTTCGCTCTGGGGGCAACCCGGCCTGAGAAGGGGCTGTCTCTTTAAAATCTTCTGGTTGTCACAGAGGCAGCAGCTGAAGCTGTTACCAGGGGCAACCTGGCAAGCCACAGTGTGTTAAATTAAATTAAACAGGCCTCTGGCTGCCCCGCCCTCCCTCCCGTAGAATGAAGTTGTCATGAAACCTGAGCTGGCTGCGAGGACCTACATTCCCGTCTCTGCTGCTGCAACTCTGGGCAGGTCGCCCCACACTCTCCTCCTTGATACGGTCCCTGAGTGGGGTGTCTGCCTGTGGGAGGGGCTGGCCAGCCTGGCGCGTGATGGAGGTCTCCCAGCTGGCAGATCTGCAGGGCAGACCTGTCCAGGCCGCGCTGAGCTTCCATCAACACCTATCGCCCCGGGCCTAGCTCAGGTGAGCCTGAGGAGGAGCTCCAGGGAGGGCTCAGAGCAGCTCCCAGCTCTCTGAGGCCTTACCCTCCTCATCCTCATTTCACAGATGGGGAAATGGAGGAAGAAATACGCACAAACTTGCTCACTGGACCTGATATTTCAGGCCAGGTCTCTTTGGGTTCAGTCCTGTTCTTTGTGTAACGCGTAGGTGCAAAGAACTAGTGTGTGTTCAGTGTTGCCATTTACTTGGTCTTTCATGCCCCACAGAGTGTCATTATCCTTTTAATACAGATGGAGAAACTGAGGAACTTATCAAATACTCAAACCCGGGATGGTGCTCTTGTTGCTATGCTAATAACAGCAAGAAGGGTTTTTTGTTTGTTTCAGAGAGGGTCTTGCTGTGCACTTCAGGCTGCCCTGGAACTCACTGTGCCCTTGAACTAATCCCAGTGCTAGGATTTCAGGTGTGTGTCACCACGCCTGGCAATAAATAGCAAATTTTATTGAGCACTTACTATATACCAGGTCCATCATTTATAGATGTTGACCTACTACCCATGAGGTAGGGACTACTGTTACCCTGATTTTACAGATGAGGCAGGTCTGGCACATAGTGGTCAGGTGGTTTCCAGAGTGACACAGCTGGAAGGAATTAGACCTTGAGCCCAGCAGTCTGTCACCAGGGTCCCTCAGAGTAAGGGTTCTCAAAGCGTGGGCCCTACCAGAGCCTGTGCCTCACCTGGGAATTTGGCAGAAATGCGGATTCTTGAGGGCTGACTCACACCCTGGGAGCGGGGCTGAAGTTCACAGGCCACAGCCGGACTCACCAGGGAGGGCGGGGTAAGAAGGCGGCAGCAGGTGCCTCAGTTTGCAATGAGTCAGAGGGTCTGAAATTTCGGTCCTCAGGATCCGTGCCCTACAGCTGGGTGGGTAAGTGACAAAGGCCAGTGTCTCGCCGAAGTCTTGAGACTAGGATAAGCCCTTTGAGGGCAGGTGCAAGAACGGGTCAGGAGCACTGAAAGGCCGCCCCAAGAGAAGGGACTCGGGGGGCTGGGCCATTTAAGGGACTTCAATAGCAGACCTCGTACCATCCCAGGGGTTTGCAAACCTGTGCACCGCTGCCTGGGCGGCGGGGACACCGTGTCGGTTCTCAGGGAAAATATTTTCCTTGCAGGCTGAACTCTGCCCTTGCTGGCCGCACCCTGCATTCCGGAATGGGCTCCCGAGAGCTGACTGGTTCTCTCCCCACCCTGTGCTGGGGCCGGGCGAGTGACAGAGGAGGGAAGGGACCTTTCTCCAGGGTTACTGGGCCCTGTGCCACGTCAAGGCCCTGGCTTCTCACAGCACCTTGGGGGGGGGGTGTGGCCTCCTCTCCCTCACACAGAGGAGGGGACTGAGAAGAAAGTCACCAGCCCAGCCCCACAGCCCTGGGTGGAACCACCGGGACTCAAGTTCTGATCTGCCTCCTGCAACGCCTCTGCCCTTCCTGCCTCATTCAGGGGACCTGAGAAGCTGACGCTGTGGAAACAGAAGTCAGGGGACGCGTCCTTCCTGCACGACTGGGATGCGCACTGTGACACGAGGCGGCACACCGCTGACACCAGGAGGGTCAGGCGAGCCCATGCTCTCTGCCCCTGCCTCTCGCTCCCCAGGGATTCCCCAAGGCCACTGCTCCACTTTTGAGTCCACAAACGGGCCTGCCTGGTTAGAAGCTTGTGGGTGGGGGCGGAAGCGCACACAGGCGGGGTGCTCGCTCCTGACTCACCTGACTGCCGGAGCCACTTCTCCATTCCAGTTCCCAGTGAACAAGGGCCCCCCACCCCCCGCCAGCAGGCCTGGCTCCAAGCTGGCCCCATGCCAGCAGCAGCTGGCTTTGTCTGGAGAGGCCTGTGCCCTCCCGGGAATCCCAACACCCAGCGGCGGTGGCCTGCGGGATCGAATACAAATCCAGGTGTTACCAAAGGTGCCGTCCTCACTTGGAGCCTGGCGCACCGCTGCCACGTGGGAGGTCCTTCTCAGCACGTGGCATGGTGGAGAGTGTGCCTGCAGAACACGCACCAAGCGCCCAATATTTTGGTCAAAGGGGAGGAAAATCAAATAACTGAGTTGGCTGGGGACAGATTTGTTTTTTTTTTTTTTTTTTAAGAGAAATATAAGTTCTAGCTACCTTATTTTTAAAGTTAGGGACTTTAAGATCTAAAACTGAGCTATCCACATGATGGTAAAACAGACTCCTCCTGAGTAACAGAGAGGCCCAGATGAGGGGACAAAGCTCACGGGAGGCTGCTGATGGCCATGCGGCAGAGCCACAGCAGGTGCAGGGCAGGGCCAGCGCCGGCCGGGAGGACAGAGCACACCCCTCACGCCCTGACTGGCGGTGTCGGGTCTCCTCATCTCCACAGCAGCCTTGGAGGCCACGTTAGGGTCCCTCTGCAGAGGCAGAAACTGAGGCTCCGAGAAGTGACCTTCTGTAGCCACCTGGCAGGAAAGGCCTGTCGGCTGCAAAATCTGTGCTCTGCATGCTAACCCTGAGAGCTGTGCAGAACCCCGAGTGAGCCTCTGCTCGTGCACGTGTGTGCGTGTGTGTGTGTGTGTGTGTGTGTGTGTGTGTGTGCACATGTGCACAAGATGTAGCAGAGGCCATGACCTGACCTTTAGATTTTTGCCATTTAAGATCTGGAGGCAGGAATGAAGAGCAGACAGAGGAAGTCACGGACCTCGCCCCGCATGTCAGCACCGCTTGATTTGGGTGACGGGTGGATCCCTGACAGGACGAAGCTGCCCTCTCTAACTGGCTCAGCAGGGGAGCAGCTGCTGGCTCTTCCCTGTCAGCGGCTTCCAGCCTGTGGGGGTCTCCTCTGCTGCGCACAGGCTGGGCAGGCTGGGCAGGCGCTACTGCCTGCCCCACCGCACTCATGGTGACGACTGACCTAGCGACTGGGAGCCTCCCCTCCTTCCCACCCCGCCTCTGCTTCCGCTGCTGCCCTCGACCTCCCGACCTCCTGTCCCTCCTGTCCCTCCTGTCCCTCACGCCTGGCCTCAGGTGTGGGAAGGTCCCTCCCCCGCTTCTGTCCCTCCAGAAGAACGAAGTCAAGTGGCACATGATGGCCTCTTCTCTGACCAGCTCTGCCCTGGCGAGGGGCCGGGGTGTCTCAGGCCTGCAGCTGTGAACTGGGTCCCGGCCTGTGATGGGCAGTGTGTAAGGCCCGGTCTGGAAGGCACTGGCAAAGGGAGTCACCCACGCCACCGTGTGTGGCTCTGCCCGGAGGCTTTGGGAGGAGCTGGCTACCAGAGCTGAGTCCTGATGGGGGGGTGGAGGGCACAGGACTCCCGGGGAGGGGAGAACTGGCACTGTGTTTGGGGACTACAGGTGGATTAGAATTGCTGGGAAGTAGGAGCCGAGAAGTGTGCCCAAAGCAGAGGTAGGAGCTGGATTCCAGAGGGCATCTCGGCAGCTCTTTGGGGCTGCCACGTGCCCCTCCTCATATAGCTCTGGGCTACCATCCTCCCTCCCTGCAGTTCAGCTGTCCCCGGAAGCCCTTGTGCACTGCAGGCTCCTGCCCCAGGGCCTTTGCACATGCCATACCCCCCCCCCCGGACAGAAGCACCTGCACCTATTCCTGCCAGGACCTGCCGCCTTCCTCAGAAACCTTCCCCAGCCACTGCTCAGGACACACTCACTGCTCACATGACCTCGACTTTCCAGGTCACTGCTGCCGATGCCAGCATCTGGTTCACATGCCCCCAAAGTGCCCTTCCTTGTCAGCCTCTGGGGCCTTTAGTGGTCCAGGAGTCACGATGCCTGTGATGCAGGCCTGTGGGCTCTGTCAGCCACAGACACATCTCAGCTTTGTCCCTCTGACCCCTCGCCCAGGGAGCGACGAGCTACTGAAGGAACAGGTTTGCTTCTCCCTCCATCCATGTCTCAGTGGCAAGAACTTAAAGGCAGGGCTGGCATACAGTAGATGCTCAATAAAAGTCAGAACCTCAGCAAGTACTTCTCAGACACCCTCAGAGCCCCCCAGGGTATAGGCGTTTTCACTGCACTCTGCAGCTGGAAAATCACAGGAACCCTGAGGCAGAGATCACTGCTGATACCCAAGCAGCTGGAGATCAGAGGGGACAAGTAATTTGCCCAAAGCCACACAGCGAAATGACAACAGAGCTCAGACTCGAGCTTCCTGACTCTTCCTGCTGAAACCCTTGTCAACCCCGCCCTGACTGTGACTCTTTCCTGGGCCCCTGCTTGGTGCCAGGTACTGCACAAGCATGATCTGATCTGCTTCTCGATGGCAAACGGAAGGGGCCACTTCCCAAGCTCCCTCCTGGCCACAGCTGCTCTGTGCAGAGCTGGGGAGCAGCGGCTGGTGGGGCCCAAGGGCACAGTTCAGAGCGCGACAGTCAGGCGGCCTCAGCAGCCGCTCCTGTCTGGGGCACTTGGGGTCAGCCAGTGGCCTGTGCTGACTGCAGAGGGAGCGGCCGGCCTGTTTGCTGCAACCCCTACCCTCTGCCTCCCTGCTCACCTCCTCCAGGAAGCCCTCCCACACTGAGCGCCTGCTGAGAGCAGGAAGGGGTCTCAGAGGCCATCTGGGCCCCCTTCCCGCGCCCATTTCTCAGATGGAGGAACTACAGAGCAGAGCGAGGCCTCCGCTGTCGGCGGTGCCACGGCTGAGATAAGACTCAGGGCTCCAGGCCCCACTTCACCTCCACGGGCACCAGCGGCCACAGCCACACGACGGACACAGTGCTGGCCACCCCTCCCCTGCAGGGCTGCCTGGTGTTCAGGGTCCAGGATTTAAAACTGGAGGCGCAGATACCTGCAGGTCCCAGGGGAAGGTAATTACTGCACCCAGTGTGGGGAGAGAAGCTTCATAGTTGAGAAGATGGAGGGTCACCCTGATCCTGCCCATCCCTATGCCTGCTCTTCTAAGAGCTTTGCAAACAGTAATTATAGTTCTGGGCATGGTGACATATGCCTACAATCCTAGCACTCAGGAGGCTGAGACAGGAGGACCACCTTGAGTTCAAGGCCAGCCTGGACTTACATAAGTGAGTTCAGGGCTGGCCTGCACTACAGAGCAAGACCCTGTCTCAAAAAAAAAAAAAAAAAAACCCAACACAAAAAAGCAAAAAAATGAAAACCACATTAATTATAACATCAGCCAAACAAGGGGATCCCCACTTTACTAAGGAGGAAACCTAGGACACACGTGCAGTTATGGTCCCCATGTCGCAGAGAGGCACAGGCACTTTGAGACACTAAGTCCTGACTAGAGGTGAGATCACGGGGGACAGGGGTTCCGATGGGCATCTGGCTGGGGTCTCCTCGCTTGGCCTGTGCCCTGCACTGCCGTCCTTCATCAAGTCTGTAGCCTCTGGCTTGAGTCCCCCAGTTTGTGACTGCTACTGCTCCCCTCCCAGAAAAACCAGCTCTGCTGGAAAAGGTGCTGAGGGTGTGTGTAGGCTTTGTGAGCCCAAGCCAGGCTTCCAGGTGTTGAAGGCTTGTTGTTATTTAAACTTCACCCATGGAAAACACTATAAAACATTGCTGCTATCAGCTCAATTCTGCCGGCAGTGTCTTCCGGAAAGGTCACAGTGCCCCTGTGAGCCAGTGAGGAAAGGATCTTATATGCAGCCAGGAGAGCTAGCGGGGAAGTAGGTGGTGTCCCAATCACGCAGGCCTTCAGAGGAGCCTGCAGCCCAGCACTGCCGAGCCGGCACACCTTGGCTCCTGACCACTCACTCCGCGGTGCCACCGCAAGGGCTGATGGCCCAAGCTGCCGAGTGTGGGCGGATTCGGTCCTGCCTCGGGAGATAACTAGTTATCTAGCACCTGTCTGGGTAGCACTAGGCCCTGTGCCAAGCCAGCTGCTGGGTTTCTTGTGGTAGTGCATAGGCGCTGTTCCCCTGTCAAAGCCTCAGAGCTTGAGCTGGAGACACACTCGAAGGGGCACAGCGGGAGCCAGCGGAGGCTCTGAGCCTCCAGGAAGGGAGCTGAGGTGTCTGAGAGGAGCCCCAGGCCAAACAGGACCTCTGACAAAGATGGAGCAGCAGGCGGCCCAGGAGGAGGCTGAGAAGGGGCAAGGCGGGCTGTGAGATGTGGGCTGCAGAGAGGAGCGCCAGGGGGATGTGGCAATAAATAGCCTGGCTCACGAGGGGAACGCGCAGAGGACCTGCAGAGCTCTAACTGCGGAGGGCTCGGGTGCCCACCCCATGGCCCAGGATTCCCCGCGGCCAGAGGGAGTGGGCGGAGGGCACTGCCGGTGCGATGATACAGTGGCAGCACAGGCAGCAGGGATGATGGCAGCAGGGTCAGGACGCCGCAGGGCGGGAAGCCAGAGGAGCAGGCGGAACGTTATGGAGGCCGGGAGCAGCGGGCAGACCTCGGAGGTACAGGAGGTGGATGCAACCCGGAGGGAAGAGGGGTCAAGGCTGCGCAAGCCTCCCGTGCTGCCCCTCGGTACTCTTAGTAGGTGGAGGCGCTAGGGAACAGGGACGGGTACCTACTTGCTGGGAGGAACAGGGATGCGCGATGAATTGGCCGGGATGCGTTTGCGGCGTTGCCGAGACAGACCTAGGCTGGCAGCCCCACTAGGCTCCCATTAGGAGGGCAAAGCTCCAGCTAGTCTGGAACTGGAGGGGTGCGCTGGGGCAAGGTACTCCACAGGCCAGAGGGCCGGTGCAGCGCGGAGGGGACCTCGCAGACTAAAGGGTCTTGCCACAGCCCCTCCCCCGGGGTGGGGTGGCGGTGTTTCTCACCTGCTGCCCGTAGCCCAGCGCCTTGTCGTAGAGTGCGAGCCCTGCCACCAGCACGCGCGCGCGCTCCTCCGGGCTGGCGCAGCCCACGTCGAAGCCGTGCGCGTAGCCCTGCTCAGCCAGGCAGCGCGCGGCGCGGAGCGGGGCGGCCCCGCCGGCCTCGGGGTCCGCGTCCAGGCCCATGAGGCTGGCCAGCCGCGCGGCGCACGCCTCCTCCTCTTGCTCCTGTCCCAGCCGCCCATATACGTGTGCCAGGTTGGCCCAGGCGTTGAGGTTGCCCGGGTCCTCGCGGGCCACCTCGAGGAAGCGCTGGCGGGCCTCGTCCAGCTCCTCCAGGTAGAAGGCGAAGACGCCCAGGAGGTGCTGCGCCCCCGGCCGCTGCGGGGCAGCCGCCAGCTCTAGCTCCCGCCGCGCGCCCTCGCGCTGCAGCCGCAGGTCCCGGGCGCGCAGCGGGGCCGGCGAGCGCGGCTCGAAGTTCAGCTGCATCTCCAGGTGGAAGTGGCCCGGCAGGTAGTCCATGTCGTCGATGAGGGCGTCCAGGTCTTCAGCCGCGGCCTCGGCCTCCGCCATGCTGCGGGGCTGCTGCCCGGCCTCACCTGGCCCCGAGGCGGCCGAGCGGAGCGCGGGGACAGGGCGCCCAGCAGCCCCGCGCAGAGGCCCAGGGCGCGGCGCCTCCCCGTCCGGAGCCTCCCGTGGGTGGGTCTGAGCGCCCGCCCGGAGATGTTTCCGCTTTCGCTGCTCAGCGGCCCTTACACGCGGCATTGCACAACCAGGTGTGGCAGAAAAACAGGTGCATTGCTGACTGCGGGCGCGCCAGCCCGGGTGCGAGGCCAAAGGCGGATTTTGCCTCCCTGCTCGGTCTTGAAGGAGGAAAGGACCGGCCACGTTACAGAAATGGGGCGCGCTCCCAGAAGCCTGGAGCCCGGGTTTGCCCAAGGCCAGCCGCGCCCTCCTCCACAGGCGCTGCTCCCTGCGGTGGAGGGACCACCGCCTTCCTGCTGGTGCCCATCCTCCCCTCTGCCCCGCCTCCCACTCTCCTGCCAGCGACTTCAGGGTGACAGTCCCTCCCCGCGGGCAGGAGCCCTAGGTAAACCCCGCACGTGGCCACTTCACATTACAGTGTGGGCTCCGCCCTCGCCCTGGTGCCCATCCTGCCCCTCGAGCCACCTGTGGCCCAGTTTTCTTTTTCTGACCAGTCTTCTGGCCGGGACTTCGGAGCCCGGACCTGGATCCTGCCACTGGCGGCCCCTCCCAAGCCTGGTTCCGTGCAGCTCCGGAGTGCACCGCTCCTCCTTCCCCAGGCTGGGCTCTCCCCCTGCTGTCTGTTCTTCTTCAAAAGGAGACCAGCACTTTCCGAACAGGATAAGCAGCCGGGCAATGGACTCCGGGGAAATATTTGACTTCAGCAATAAAAGGAGAAACCAAAACAACATTTTGGTGCCATTTTTGCCTGTTAATTTTTAGACATAAAGTTTAATATATGTAATAGTTTTTACTAAAAAAATACATTGCCAGCCATTATAAAATTAAACTTATTCTCTCACCTGCTTGGAAGTATTGGTGATAGAGTCCCAGAGAGTTTGGCATTATTGTTATTACTGAGACAGGGTCTTGCTATGTAGATCTTGAACTCACAAAATAGCCCAGGATGACTTTGAACTCATGGTGATCCTCCTGCCTCAGCCTCCTGAGTGCTGGGATTACAGGAGTACACCATCAAGCCCGGTGGGTTTGGCTTTATTTTTTAAAAATTGTTGCAACGTATACTTTGCATAAAAGCTACCACTGTAACCATTTTTAGGTGTACAGTTCAGTGGCTTTAAGCACATTCCCATTGCTCTGCCACCACCCCATCCTCTGTCTCTATTTCCTCTTCCCAAATTGAACTCCATGTCCAAGTAAGTGAGAACTTCCCACTTCTTCCCCCAGCACCAGCTAACCACCATTCTACCTTCTGTGTCTATGCAGTTGACCACTGTAGTTCTTCATTGTAAGCAGAACCATACAGTATCTGTTCATGTCTGACTTATATTAGCCTAATGTCTGCAGGGTTATTCATGTTGTAGCACGGGTCACACTTTCCTTTTTAAAGGCTGAGTAATATTCCACTGCCGGTGAATTATCACAGTTTATTCATCCATCGTTGGTGTACATGTGGGTTGCTTCTACCTTGTGACTCTTGTGAACAATGCTGCTACGAACAGTAGATTGTGTTCTACATGAATTACAGATGCAGTGCATGGGAGGGGGATTGCTGGATCACATGGCAATCCTGTGTTTATTTCCTGGAGAAACTGCCATAATGTTTTTCCCAGCAGCTCCACAATTTTTCTTTTCCACCAGCAGTGCACAAGGGTTCCGTTTTCTCCACATCCTTGCGGATGTGTGCCACTTTCTGTTTTAATGATGAGTGTCCGTGGGTGGGCTTGGCTTTGGCTTTGGCTTCGAGGGTGAGGAGGAGGAGGAGTTGGGCGGGGAGGGCAGGGAGCAGCGGGTGTTCAGCGGCAGGAAGGAGCTCTCGGAGGAGTCCGTGTCCACCATGTGTCCCTGCGGTGGCCAGAACCTCGTGCCTGCGCCTTTGTCTAAGCCTGGGTTTCCTCTCCTGTGAGGGGCAGGCCAGGGTCCGGCCACTGCAGGGCCTGTGAGCGTGGCCAGCTGCCAGGTGAGGAAGGCGGTGCGCGGGAGGCCAGGCAGTCCGCGGCTGCCTTGCTGCGGTCTGACTCACCCAGGCCCGCCCTGGCCTGCGTGGCCCAGGACTCCTGGCCCAGTGGACCTTGGCTTCGGTCCTCCACTTGCTCCTCCATGAGCTCTGGGGCCCAGGGGCTCGTTGTGGAAGAGGAGGGCAGCCTCGGACTCGTGTGGTTGCAGCAACACCTGGACCGACCAGGCTGAGCCAGGGCCTCACAGCACCTAGTACTGGCATGGTGCCCCCGACATGCCCCAGACACCTCACCACGTCTCCTCCTCCGGGCAGCGCCAGTCACAGCCCTGTCCACCCTGGGCCACCAGCAGGGAAGCAGTGGGGCAGGATTCAAACCCACGTCTCTTGGAGGGTTTGTGGGTCCCTGGAAACGGGGCCTGCGTTTGTCTATTTGCTGTCACTCAGCAAATATTCACAGACACCGAGTGGCAGGAACGAGGAAGACCGTGCTGCCCGAGGGCGTCCAAGGGAAGAGGCACAGCCAACCGTGCTGTTGGGGGCACACACCTGAAACTCCTTCCCTCGCCAGGCAAGCCATACGTGCTTCGGAGTGCAGTTTAGAATTCTTCAGGAAGCCCTCCCGGACTCCCGCGATGGAGCCACAGCCCGATTGCCCCTCTGCAGTCCACCCTCTGCAGGTCCCCAGTTTCCTGAGGCCGAGATGAGCCTTGAGGCGCTTCCCCTCCCGGAGCCCAGGCTGCAGTCAGAAACAGGTCCCCAGAAAAACGATCGAGCTCGGCCGAAGGCTCCACATGAGCACCAGGGGGCGCCGTCGCGCCAGCTGGGGTCACGAAAGATCCCTGGCCCGGCGTGGAAAACCGAACAATGAGAAGCGGGTAGGCGGCGCCCCGGGTCACAGGGCCTGGTTGCCGTGGCAGCCGGGGGCGGGTGGCGGTAGCCAGCGGGGTGCAGACTGGAGAGGCCGCGGTGACAGGAGCGCCACCCTGGCTCCCGGGGGACCTCGCCGCTCAGAGGGTGCGAGCACCATGTCGGTCGCTACCAAGTGGTTCCGAGGGGCGCCCTTTGGGGTGCAGAGCCACAGGTGGGGCCCTCTGCACCCAGGCTGTCGCCCTGCTGCCACCCCCAGCTCCTCTCTGAGGCTGAAAGAGGCAGGATTCCCCTCCAGCTCACTCCGGCTGTACCCGCTTCCAGGCCCTTTTCCCCTCCTGCATTCTTTTTTCTTTTTCCAGTGATGCTGAGGATTGAGCCCAAGGCCTTCACCCTGAGCTACATTCCCAGCCCTTTATATATTTATTAAATTTTGGGACAGGGTCTTGTTAAATGGATAAATTGCCCAGCTTGGTCTCAGTCCTCCTGCCTCAGCCTCCCTGAGTGCTAGGATTATAGGCTCCTGCTGCCATGCCTAGTTTCTGCTTCCTTTAGTAAGTTCCGGAAGCCATTTCCTGAGCACCTACTATGTGCCAGATCCAAACAACAGAGGAGAAAGCCAAAACCCTGACCTCAGGGAACTGACATTCTTATGGGCGGAGGCATCGGATAATGATTGAATAGGTGGCTGTTACTTACGGCCTCCGCGTACATATAACAGGATCCGCTGGTAGTAATCAGGGATTTGGAGAAAAACCAAGCTGGAGCAGGTGCTGGTGGGTGGGACGGAGGCTTGTTGGGTCACAGCCACTGCAGCCCTGCTGTTTATCCTTCCGGGGCCAAAGTCTTCTCCCATGGGACACCCACTCTTCCACCCTGGGCTGCCCAAGCCCTGGCCAGGAGTCAGGCGCTGGGCTCCCATCGGGCCTCTGTCCTCCTAGGTTTGATGTCTCCGCCGTTTATCCCAACCAGAAGAAGTGCAGCACCTTCACGGAGGCCCCGTACTCCCGGAGTCATTCTGTGGAGGTGGTGGGTGTGCGAGCTTTCTGCCGTCTCTGCTCTGCTCTGAATGAGTGACTGTCCCTCCCCGAGCTGTGACGGGGCCAGTGAGGAGGAGCTCACGACTGCCTCTCGATCTCAGTGTGGGAGCATTGCCTGGCCCCCACCCCAGGGCCAGGGTAGCTCCGAGAGCACTTGCCCCGGGGTGGCCTGGCTGGAGTGGCTGGCCCGGCTCTGACTGTGCTCCCACTCAGTCCCACATAGGCCCTGGGACCTACAGCTGCAGGGAGACCTGCTTCAGCAAGAAGAAGCTGAAGAAGGAGGTGGGCACAGGCTGGGCCCGGGCCCAGGAAGCAGCCCGGCTCACCCAGCTGCCCCACTTCCGGTACGAGGCCCTCTTGAAAGAAAGACGGCTGCAGGTGAGGCCCTTGGTGTCCTCCCAGGTGCAGGGGGTCCCCGAAGGAGCACCATCACCCCAGCTCCCTCCTGCGTGGACATTCTTGCGTTTGCAGTTTGCATCTTTCGTTCCTTCTCCCTGGGCAGGCGCAGAAGCTGGGGCCTGGCTCCTACAACCTCAAAGACTTCCTGGAAGAGCTGCAGCAGAAGCCAAGCAGCACGCGGGGGCTGCTAAGCTCCGGGGAGACCCGCTTCTCAGGTCTCGTGGGGGTAGGTGGCAGAGTGGCCCCCGAGTGTGCCCCGAAGCCCCTCCATCCTTGGCTGCTGCGTGCTCCAGCAGGGATGGGTCTGATCCTCTCTGCGTCTCCAGCAGGAAGCCCAGCATGTATTAGGTGCTGGACAGGTTCCTCTACCTATCCCGCCACCTGGGAGGTAGTAACTGAATACCTATGAAGTGCCATGGACTGTCTAGGCGTGGGTGAGGTCCCTGCTCTTGCAGAGTGAATATCCTAGTGGTAGAGACAAAGGCACCAAGAAGGAAATGCATACATAATCAGAGCTTCGAGGACAGTGACACAGCGGAGGGACAGGGAGTGCCACGGGGCAGTCTGCAGCATGCAGTCCGGAAAGGCCTCTGGGGGAGCTGTGGCTCGAGCAAACCCTGCAGGTCCTGAGCGGCAGCTTTGAGCCACCGACTCTCAGTATCTGGGTTGCGGTGTCCAGGCTTGGGACCAGCAAGGCCAAGACCTGAGATGCTTTTCCAAGCAGGCTGGCAGGCAGGGGGCAGCGTTCATCCCCAGAGCCCCCTCCCCGTCTTACTGCCAGGAAACCTGTGAGGGCGGGAGGCTGCTCATCGCCGGCTTGGGGAGCAGGTGCATCTTCAGGTGCTGCAGCTGAAACCGCACCTGGGAAGAGGGACGCTCGGAGCATCCTTACTTCCTGGCTGAAGTGTTCATTGCTGGCACTCAGCAGAGCATGCCACACGCAGCGCTGCACCCTTACGACAGCCTCTGACGTAGGCACTGCCATTGTGTCCACTTTGCAGATGACACAGCTGGAGGTCAGAGGGTGAGTGACCTCAGGGTCGGGTCACAGGGCTACCAAGTGGCCGCAGCAGGATTGGAAACCGAGGCACCCAGTCCAGAGCCGCGGTGCATTCCCGAGAGGCTGAGCACGTTTAGCTCTTGTGTTTGTTCCTTAGTATAGAGGACAGGGTCTAATGTTAGAGCTCGGCCCAGCTGGTGGCAGAGAAGTTGGGGGGACAAGTTGACCACCGTCTCCCTCCTGTGTCCCCAGCCCCCAAGCACTGCGGCACCATCTTTGCTTTTTCTGCCGGGGGGACCTCTTCACCTACTCCTATAGCCATTTTTAGGGATCTGTCTCAGTCACCAAGGTTTAACTTTTAAAAAAAGCTTCCAAGTGACTGACCATTCCTTCATCCTCTCCCCCAAATCAGTCATTCCTCGCTGGGTCCCAGAAGCTCCACCATGGCTGAATTCTCTTAGAATTGTGAGCTTTCCCATGAGCCCAAGTTCAATGCTAAACCTCTGAACTTGAAAGTCTTTGAGGCAGAGTCCGCTATGTAGCCCAGGCTGGCCTTGAACTTAACTTATGTAGCCCAGGCTGGCCTTGGACTTGTGGCGATCCTCCTGCCTCAGCCTCCAGAGTGCTGGGATTACAAGCGTGTGCCACCACGTCCAGTTTGAACTTGAAAGTCTTAAGGCAGACATGAGATTGTGTCGACAACATGCCCAGTACTGATGGCCTCAGTGCCGTCCATAATTCCCAATGCAGGGGTCACTCCAGGACCCGAGGCGTTCTCCATCTGCCCACTCTGGCACCTGGCAAACTCCACAGGCTCAGAAGGAACGTGAGTTTTGGAGCTGGAAGCCTGTGTTGCTCTTTTCTGGAGGTGGGAGTGTGGTTTGGCTGTCTGAAACCCATGTGTTCATTATGAGTGGTGAGCTGGATGTGGTTGCCCACGCCTGTAATCCTAGCTCGTGGGAGGCTGAGGCAGGATGGGTGCGAGTCTGAGGCCAGTGAGGCGACTAGTGAGGTCAAGGCTGGCCTGAACTACATAATAAGATCCTGTTTCTCACACACATACACACACACACACACACACACACACACACATACACACATACACACACCAGATGGCGGTGACTTGGTCTCATCTGGTTGCCATCAGGACCAGGATAGAGCCAGTACATGATTTAGAGGCCCAGCTCCCTACTTTGGGGTTGCTCTAAAACCCACCAGGGCGCAGGGAGCCCTGCAGCAGGCAAGCCTTAGTCTGCTCCCCTGGGGACAAGTGAGCCTGATGTCCCTGCAGGCTGGCTTCCCCAGCAAGGTCCCTGGCTGGCTTGGCTTCCCCAGGACCCGGTTCCAGGTCAAGGTGGGCAGAGCTGAGCCATCTGTGGAGCAGCAGTGACCCCACGTGGCTGATTGGTGCACCTGAGACACCTCACAGTGGCTATCCTCCCTCCAGCTACAAAGACCGTATGCTGCCCTGGGGGTCAGGCCCAGCTCTTCCTTTCCTCCTGGCACCCCACTCACTCCTAGTTAGGGAGCCCCAGAGCCAGGATCAATACAAGGGTCTGGGTTCCTCTGTACCCTAGCACTGTCCACCCACAGAAGGCTGTGCATGGGGCCGCAGGGATAGAAGACGGAGCTACTATGGCCATGGGATGGAGACTCCCATGCTGCTGGGGAGGAAAGGTTTCGTTCCCAGGACAGGGGTGTTGGAGCTGGCTCTGCAGGGTTTGTGGAGCTTTCTACAGCAACAAGGGCGAGGGCCTTCCAGGTGGTGGGAACAGCACAGGCAGCTGCTGGGAGGTCGGGTGGAATGGCCCATGCCCTGGCAGTGGTATGGGGTGAAGGAAGCGAGCAGTGGGCCTGGTGAAGAAGCTGAGTTCGCGGGTGAAGGTGTGAGTGGCGGCGGAGGCTCCCAGGTGACAGTGTTGTGTGTTAGGGCTTCCTCAGATCAGCCAGCACAAAGGCTTGGACTGATGGCCTTCATGTCTCCACCTTCTGCCCACAGAACTACTATCCAGGCCCTGGGAATTATGGGGAGAAGGGCAACCCATACACACAGCTGGAGGAGAAGGCCTGGAACCGGTCCCACGCCGAGGGCCTCATGTGCAAGATGTCCAACAAGCCTCATCCCCAGTCTCATCAGGTATCCCTTGCCTGGCCAGGGTTTCTTACACCCTCCGGACGGAGACGCCCAGGAAGAGGGAACACTGAGGCCTCAGGAGGGTGGTGGACCTGCCTCAGCACTACCCTCTGCTGTGCTGTAGGGGAGCGGCCTGGGGCCCAACACCTACTCCATCAAAAGCAGCATCGACGAGTACCTGGCTCGCTCTGCGGGCACCCGAGGGCCCTATGACATTTTCTCCGGTGACAGAAGCAAGCCCCTGCCTTATGGACATTACTCTGAGCAGGTGTGCACCTGGGGGCTTCGGGGGCATCCCCAGCAAGATGGGAGATGACACTGATCAACCCCAGCAACACCACTCCATGTGCTAGGTGCTGCCATCAGCTCCTGCCAGGGTGACTATGGCTCCCGTATCAGATGAGGAAACTGAGACGCGCAGGATAGCAGAGGCAGAGCCCGAGGGCCTATGTCCAACTCCTTGGCCAGCTCCCTGGGCCAGCACATACTGGGCTAGGGGTGTGGATGGCCCATGATGGCAGAGCTGAGAGGACACTGGCCATGGGGCCTTCGGGGACCTTGAGGACACAGGCATGGGTGTCCTGCTGTCTGGGAGGCACCTCCAAGGCCAGGGGGGCTGCTTCGCGGCAGTGCTCTGTTAAACAAGGCAGAGGCCGGGAGGGGTGGGACGGGAAACGTAGTTTTAGCTCCCTGGCCTCCTTTCCTGCCTCCACTGAGTTCCTGTTGTGTGATTGCAGAGCTTGCTGCACTTTGCTTTCTTCCTGCTCACAGCTGGGACTCAGAATTTTCCTAATTACCCGTGTATTCTGTCCCCTCATGGACTCCTGTATGATCAGGTTCGCTAATAGTCCAAGGGGAGAGAGGACCGGCCCCACGGAACTCACATTCTAACAAATGAGAAACGGCCACCAATGAGTTCAAAAAATAACTCTGGAGTGTTAGCAGGTGACAGATGCGGCGGCAGAAGATGTCAGGAGAGCTGGGGGTGGGGTGGGGGCTAATGCAAAAAACACTTTGGGGCCACATGGTGGGAGTCATGGTAGGTACTTCCTTGTTGCTGGGACAAAAGATTTGATACACAGCTTAAATCAGGAGAGGTTTATTTGGGCTCAGAGTTTGCAGAGATTCCAGTTATAATCCCCTGGCACCAAGGCAGGGTGGTATGGCAGAGGAGAAACAGCTCATGGCAGGGCAGCAGGAAGGACAGAGATGAAGGGAGGAGGAGACAGACCCTTCCAGGCCACGCCTCTGGTGACCCTCCTCCTCCACCAGGCTTCACCTCCCAAATCACGTTTAGCTATAAACTCACCCACCACTGAGTCTAACACCGTCATAAACCAGTCATCTCCCCAAAGGCCCGCCTCTGAGTGCATGAGGGCTTGGGGGACGTTTAGGTACAAGCCTGTGCCTTGTGATCCGGCTGCTCCCCTGGGACCTCCTAGACCTCCCAGTGATCAGCCACAAAAATCACCATCCTGCTCAGTGCAGCAGGAGCCCCAAGGACCCTCCACAGGCAGCACCCCCTCCAAGTGAGCAGTCATTTTGTTTGTTGTAATAGAATATTTAGGGTAACTTTAGGTTCACAGTAACATTGAGAGGCAAGTACAGAGAGTTTCTATTACCTCTGCTTCCCCCACCACACAGGCACCCCCACTGTCTACATTCCCCACCAGAGGGGTGCATTTGTTCTGGCCACAGGACTCACAGTGACACTATACTGTCGCACCAAGTCTGTAATTTATAAGGGGGTTGACTCTTGGTGGTGTTTATTCTGTGGATTTCGACAGATGTGTGATTGTATCCCCCACTGTGTTATCTTACGGAATAGTTTCACTCTGTTAGGAATCCCCTGTGTTCTACCACTCACCCTGGCTTTTCCTTATTTGAACCTAGAACAGTGCCTGACTTGATAATGTCCAATGATCAAGGGGAAGATAGAAGGAATGGGTACAGCACTGACTGCCCCTCCCCTGCCCAACCTGCCGGTGGATGGGCGTTAGTGCCTTCACCTCCATCCAGCTGCCAGGGGACATTGCTCGGGCAGGGTCGTGGGTGAGACCTCCTTGTCCTTGTCACTCAGACTGCTGGGGAGCATTGAGAAAGGGGTCTCTTGAGTTCCCTGGCTGAACACCTCTTTCTTTCTGCTTTTCAGAAAAAAAAGCCCAGGGAACTGATGAATTTCCAGAGTTTTGTGGAGGAACTTAACTCACGTTACAAGAAGAAGCATGGGGTTTTTTCAAAGCTTCCCCGAAATCCGGACCCTTCCCCAGAGAGGATTAACTGGTCCCCTCTTAGCCAGTGTCCCCGGAAACTAGTCAGTATGCCTGTCAATCCACCATGCTCAGAAGGCAGCTGTCCTTTGGGCGGGGCGAGGAGGGTGCTATCAGGCCCCCCGGCTTTCCAGTCATGGTCTTGCACTTACCAGTCCCTCTGGGCAAGCCTCATCTGACCTCAGCATAGCAGGATCAGGGTGGGAATTAGATGGGGCTCCTATAGCATGGTGCCTGCATCCAAGGATGTTTTGCCAGTGCCCTCAGGAACTGGGAAGAGGGCAAGGGGAGACCCAGCCAGGACAGAGGGGGCTGGCGTTCTGAGGTCTGCCACCTGCTCGGGCCAGGGAGTGGTGGGCCAAGGCCGTGCCCTCCACAGGAGGGAGGGAGCAGCCATACTTTGACCAGGCCCTGGGCCTCTCTGGTCAGGTTCCCTGGGGCAAGAGAGGAAGGAACAGGGTACCAACCTTCCGGACGCCTGCTGGCCACTTTCCAACCCTTCCCCACAAGGAGAGATTCCAATTTCCAATTCACAAAAGGACATTGAGGCCTGGAGGGGGCACTGGGGAGGAATGTCACTCCCAGGCTGCTGTGTGGAGCGTGTCTCCCAACCCACCCAACCATGAGGGCCCTCGGGGACCTGAAAAGAGGCATCTCTCTGGCAGGGCATAGAGTGGTGGCATGGGTCACGAGGACACTTGCCTTAAGACCCAGCCCTGCTATGTTGGCCACTGCTGCTGGGGCCTTTCCACTTTCCTTCCTTCCCCTTAGGCTACTTCTGGTCCAGGTACCTGGCTTCCCCAGGAGACAGCATGCAAACATGTGAACCCGCCACCATTCCCCTTGGCCTCAGAGCGCTCAGGCGTAAAGGCATGCCAGACAGTTCCAGAGATCTGGGTGAGTGGGTCACGGTGTGGGATGGCAGGGAACTCTTCTTCCTCTACCGACAGCCTCCTCCCTTCTTGCCCCTGGGCACCAAAGCTTGGAGGGAGTCAGGCGCCACCTCGCTTTCTTCTTGGATGCTCTTGCTGGTGTAGTTCTCCAAGGCATCGATTTTCCAACTTGAGTAGGTGTCAGCATCACTGGAGGGTTGTTAACACACAGATCACTGGGTCGTGCCAGGAATTCTGACACAGTAGGCCTGGGAGAGGGCTGAGAATTTGCATTTCTTTTTTTTCTTTTTTTTTTTGAGACAAGGCCTCACTACACAGCCCCTGCTAACCTCAAACTTGCTACGTAGCTCAGGCCAGCTTCAAACTTAGCATCCTCCTGTCTCAGCCTCCCATGTGCTGGGATTGCAGGCATGGATGGGTCCCCATGCTCAGCTGGTGACGATGGTGACTGTGCTGTTCCAGGGACCACACTGTATGAAGCAGTTGGCCAAGTGATATATCACAGCCATTCTCTTATTGTCCCAAAGAAGTCCCTGCCCTCCTCCTTTTTGCCTTGTCTTGGGTCCTCTGGGACAGGCGGGGTACTGGCCATGTCTCACCCCTGGCTGAGCCAGTCCCTCTTCTGCCCCCTTCTTCCTCTGCCCTCTTCCCTGTCCCCTGTGTGTTATGTGACCTTCAGGCTGTTGGTGTTCTTAGCTCAGTTCTTGGGTTCTGTGTGTCTGCCTCCTCCATAGACGCAGCTGGCCGTGGGCTCAGACCTCATCCTCTTCCTTGCACCTGCCCCTTCAGTCTATTTTCTTTTTAAGTTTAGATCTTGCAGTACTGGGGATGGAACCCAGGGGCTCCCATATGCTGGGAAAGAGCTCTAGCATGAGGCTACATCCCCAGTCCTTTCTATAATTTCATTTTGAGACAGGGTCTTACTAAACTGTGTAGGCTGGGCTCAGACTTGCCATTCTGATTACAAGTGCGTGGCACTCTGCCCAGCCCTCCTCAGTTTTTAGGTGCACTTTGCAATGGAATCTAATAATCACACAGAAAGGTGTGGAAATCATAAACGAACAGCTCCATAAATGGACACAAAATGGCCCTCTCCTCGAGAGCATGGTGGGCACATTCCCAGCCCCCCAGGATCCCTGCAGGTGTCCCCGATAGGTAGCCCTGCCCCGACTCCAGGAGCACGTAGGAGTTTGGCCTGGTTTGAACAGCTTTCTATTTTCAAGGTCTCTCCTGGTTTCCCCAGGTACATCTCTCTTGTAATTTACCCAGTCTCTGCCTCCTGCCCCAATATGCACCCTAGGGGCCCCAAGTAACATGTTTAGATTAACCAGGTGTGGTGGCACACACCTGTGATCCCAGCTCCTCTGGAGGCTGAGGCAGAAGAATCACAAGTTTGAGGCCAGCCTGGGCAACTTAGTGAAGCCCTGTTTCAGAATAAAAAGGGCTGGGGGTATAGTTCAGTGGAGGAGCACAGCTGGGTTCAGTTCTGCATACTGAAGGGAAAAAGAAAATAAGGTTTTTGGACTAGGACCAGGGTCCACATTGCACCACAAGGCTGGCCACCTGCAATAGGAAGAGCCAAGGTAAGGGCTGGGTTTCAGTGGCGGGATGCCCCCAGTAGGGGGCGCCCCCAGACAGAAGGTGGTCAGCGGGATGCTGGCCTACACTCTAGGCCCTCACTCCCGCATCGCTTGTCCTGGACGGCCAGTTCCTGTCCTGCACGGCCAGTTCCTGTCCTGCTGTGACTCTGCCCTCCCTGTGTCACCTTACACATCTCCTCTGTGAGCAGATGTCTGGTGTGTTTCCTAGGCTGCCTTATGTGGGGCCAGGCACTTGGTGGCTTAAAACCACAGAAAAGAACCTTCCCACAGCTCCAGAAGCTGGAAGGCTAAAATCCAAGCTTCCCTCTGAAACCTGTAGGGAGAATTCCTCCTTCTTCCTTGCCGTGTGAAAGCATCATGCCAATCTCTGCCTCTGTGTGTGGCTGATTTCCCTGAGTACTTCTCCCTCCACCCGCCTCCCTCCCCCTCCCTTTCTTTGAGACAGGGTCTTGCTATATAGTTCAGGCTGGCTTGAATTCACCATGTAGCTCAGGCTGGCCTTGAATTTGTGGTGATACTTCTGCCTCAGCCTCCTGAGTACTGAGACTACAGGCATGCACCACCTCACCTGGAATGGGTTTCTCATAAGGATGCAAGTCACAACTTTTGGTGTAGCTCATTGCTAGAGCACTGGCTTATTATTCGTGAGGCCCTGGGTTCTGCTCTATTCCAGTATGACCTTATCCTGTTAACTACATCTGCAGTGACCCTCTTCCCGCGTAATTGCCACTCTAAGGGCCTGGGGTCAGGACTCCAGCAAATCTTCTAGGGAGACACAGTTCAACTCCTAAGAGCTGGGGGAGGCAGGAGCCCAGGGAGAGGCAGGAGCCCGGGGAGGGGCGGGGGCCTGAGATTCAGTCTGTGAACCAGGCTTGCTGATGCCCTGCTGTCCCCCTGCCCCCTGTGCAGAACCCAGTAGGGGTGGGCCGCTACCTCAACATCATGAGGATGGAGACCAAGGACACAGGCAGTGGTACCGGTCCCTGTACCTGGGTGGATCTAAGCACTACCCTGCAGACCCAGCTTGGGACAGGGTCCTGCAGTGAGTGTGGCCAGAGTGTCAGGAGAAGGGCAAGGACAGGAGACCTGGCCTGGGCTGGGCTGGGGTCCCTCCTGGCTGCTGCCCCTCATGCCAGCCAAATGGCCGAGGCGGTGGAGAGAACAATTCAGATTCTGCCTGTGCCACCCATGGGCTGTGTGAGGTGGGGTATATTCTTTAACTGCTCTGGTCCTCATTCCCTTCAGCTGTCAAATGAGCAGATGGCTGAGGGGATGCAAATGAGGCGGTCTATCTAAAGCTCTTGGTAAGGCAAAGTCCTCATTCTAACTCAGTCCTCCACCCACAGCCCACATAGGCCGGGCTCAGCCGGGCTGGCTTTGCCACATGCAGTCTGTTCCCTGGTGCTCATGACTCATCTCAGGAGGTTATTTTAAACCTAAAAAATAAGAGGTGTTACAAGAGTTTTAGGGCAAAAGTCCTGGATCTGGCTCGGGAGGGCCCAACGACTAGACTCCACCACTTACCCCAAAACACCAGTCTAGGAGTCGAGCATGGTGCAGGGCAGGAGAGGAGCTGTCATCACTGTGGCCTGGCGGGAAGGACAGAGAAAGAGGCTCAAGATCTGTCCTCCAGGGGCCGACCGGACAGGAGCATTGGGCTGTATAGAGAAGCGGAACAGGGCGAGGGCTGGGAGTTCGTGTAGCTGCAGGGTAGGGAATCCCAGTCAGGTCGTGGTCTGGTTGATTGGTGTCTCAGGGCTGGTTCTGGGGATCCTGAGAGAGTCACCTGCATGAGGGGACAGCTCAATTCCCATGGACAGATGGCCACTCCTGCTCCGGGGAAGCCTCGGTTCCCATGTGGGGGCGACCTCGTTCTAGGGTGGCAGTGAGGCTGTGTTGTTCCTGGAATCTGAGGTGTCTACGAGTTTAGGACATTGACTCGAGACTTCCAGGGGGTCTGGACGGGAAGGAGTGAAAGCTGGCAACTGGATGTCTCTGAAAGTTAAGAGAAAAAACAATAATGATAGAATTTCAAAACAAGATAATAGGAGACTAACAATGGTTAATATATTGCATATTATTATCTTCAAAGTAGGTTCTCAGATTACAAGATGTAGGCATGAAAGATTCTGTCTTTTTTTGGACAGGGTCTTTTTATGTAGTTCTGGCTGGCCTTGAACTCACAGCGAACCTCTTGCCTCAGTCTCCGGAGTGCTGGGATTACAGGCTTGTGCCACCACACCCAGCTATTTACTCTTATTTCAGGGTCCTCAGTCTTGAAAGAGGATGAGATGGCCTAGGTCAAGTTAAGACCAGTAAACCTTGTAATGTTCCTTATGTGACAAACACGCTTGGCCAGGTTTTGTCTGATTGATTGGTGTCTCAGGGCTGGCTCCTGATATAGAGAGCTGATCGGAGATCTGGCCAAGTTTCAAGGCCCAGTTACCCATTAGGCAGCTATAGGCCTGTGCTCTGAGTCCCTATTACAGAAGTGCCTGAAACACCATGACATACTATATAAAGAACATGCAAATATTAGCTGCTGCTATATTTTATTGGTATATGAAGCCAACTGTTGGCTCAATTTCAGAACTTTTGAAGTGTGAATAAACATGCACTTTAAAATTGAGCATTTTGGTTTTGGGGAATTACAGTGAGAATATCAGAACCAGATTCTGGGGGGCAGATTACTCTGGGAGAGGCAGCTTTTGAATACAATTTTAAAAACTGTTTCTTTTTTTTTTTTTTTTTTTTTGGTTTTCTTCCGGTACCAGGAATTGAACTCACGACCTTGTGCTTGCCAGGCAGGTGCTTTGCCACTGAGCTAAATCCCCAGCCCCTTAAAAACTGTTTCATCAAGATAGTTGTGTCTTCTTCCTCCTTGACTTCCTCCCTTGTTTTGGTGGATTCATGAGAAAGGGCAGTGGGAGGAAAGATTTTGATTGATTGCATGCCTGAAAATGTTTTGCACTTTTCTCACTTGCACAGCTGGTTCATGGTTTGGCTGGAAATAAAATTCTAGGGTGGGAATAATTTTCCCTTGGAATTTTTTTTAATGGTGAGGATTAAATCCAGGGCCTTTGCACTGAGCTACATCTCCAGCCTTTCTAAATGTTTTAAAAGTTTGAGGCGGGATCTAAGTTGCTAAATTTTCCAGGCCAGGGCTAGAACTTGCTATCCTCCTACCTCAGCCTCCCAACGTGCTGGCATTAATAATACACACCACTGTATCCGGGCTCCTTTGGAATTCTGCAGACTTTGCTCCTTGCTTTCTAGCCTCCAGAGTGGTTGTGGAGAAGTCTAGTGACATTTTGACTCTGTTGTTTGTATGTCACCTGCACTTTCCTTTCTGAATGCTTCGGGGGCTTTTCTCTGTCCGCTATGCTCTGATCTCATGGTGATGGGAGTTGGCTTCTTCCTCTCTAGTGCTGAGCACTTGGTGGGCTCCTTCCATCTGGCTACTCAGCACCTTCTATGATGGAAATTTTACTTTGAGTTTTTGTCTTTGTGGATTTTCTCTCTTCTGTTTTCTCTTCATTGTAGATGAGCACTAGATGTTCTGGTTTGACATTCTCATACACATTCATTCATTTTCTTATCCTCCACCTCTGCCTTTTCTGTTCTATTTCTTTCTGGCAAATGTCCTTGCCCTTGTTTTCCATCACAACTATTTCCTGTTACACTTTTGTCTATCATACTTTTTAATTTCCAAGAGCTCTTTTGTGTTATGGATTGTTCTTTTTTCGGCACCACGTCCTGTGTCATGTATTAACTGTGTTTTTTATCCAGGGTGTGGATTACAGTTTTCCTTATGTTCCTGGCTCCCTGCGTTGTCTCCAGTTCTTCCAAGTTCCTTTTCTTCACTTGCTTGTTCACATGAAGAGGAAAGCACTGACAATGCCGTGCATGTGTGTGTGAACGGGGTCTGTCTGATAGTAGCTGGGGATCATTCATTCCATTATGGATGGCAGGACCTTCTGACCCAGAGACTGCAGAGACAAGACGGGGCCAGCTATTGCAGGCACACTCCCTATCACACAGGCAAAGCTTTATGGAGTCAGGGTGGAGTCACCTGAGTTGCAGCTTTGGCTGAAGGAAGTCAGCACTGGTCAAGAGAGTGATTAGGTTGCCCTAGAACAAAAGGAGCAGCACATTTTTAAAATCTGCTGGGCCGGGTGCAGTTCTATAATATGTTCCTTCTCGGGGTGGATGCGGGCCACTAGGTGGTCATGACCACCTTGTCCTCAGCTCTTGCATTTTTTGTAGTTGACACCCTTCACCTTTGCAGACATCCCAGCCATATGGGTCTGCACCCTAGGATAGGGTGGAAGGACACAAAGTCCTTGTAAGATAGAGAAGCATCTGACTCTCCCGGTTTCCAATGACGGCTCAGGGGTAGGAGGGCGAGGAGTTTTGTTATTGGTTTTTAGAGTCCTGTACAGATTCTTTCAGGGTTCTTGTTGTCCTGGACAAAGAATTGAGCAAGACATGTGAGAAAAGTAGCAAGGATTTACATTTATTGAGGGTGGAAAAGAAATATGCTCTGCAGAGTGAGAACGGACCACTGAGAAAGTTTACAGTGGCCATGAAGTTAATAGCAGAGGGTTTTGTATCTTCTATTCCTCAGTCTGAAGTCAGACCTCAGCTGCCCTAGCAAAATACCACTTGATTTTGTGCCAGTTATAAATGAAGAATTGAAGACAGTATTTTCTGATTGATCTGAGGTGCAGGGTTTGGAAACTCTGTTCAGCACATGTGTTTTGGGTCTCTGTGATTGACAGGTCATGCCCACTTTCTCAGCCAGTTTCTCCCACCCTAATCTCCCTATCTCATTTCCCCCTGAGAGGCACATCCCCCATGCTTCTTTATGAGATGCTGAGGGAATGGAGGTCTCTATCTTCATATAGCTGCTTCCTGCTGAAAGGCTGTAAGCCCTATGTACTGGAGATTATGTGCTCTCCAACTACCTTGGAATGCTGCGCTCACCAGCTGGGCTGGAAAAATACCTGTCCATAGATAAGGAGAAAAGGATATCTATATGTCAAGAACTCTTGAGCTCCCTATTCAGTGGGAGAAAGCTTGATGAATTTTTCAGGAGAATTATGGACTATAGTGGACATCACCTGAAGCCTTGAATGGATAAACTTCACTATTACCTGGAGGAGGCAGAGCTTGAATATGAAAAGGAGGAGATCAGAATATTTCCTGGTCTGACTTAAAAGGTGGATTATTACAGATCTAGCAATTGGAGACATTATTTTTCTGTGCTATTATTTAGTAGAAGTTTTCTAGGGAGTTTAATTTCCATGCTTCCTGTGGAAAAGACAGCACGGTGAAGAGGGCTATTAAATAAACTACCAAGAACCTGAGAGCTATAGCCCTAGCAAGATTACCTATATTACTGATCCAGTTAAATGAAGGAATCCCTATACAGGTGCGCATTTAAGCCATGGTGGCTCAGGGGTCATTAGTGACTATTTGTCTGCATCTAGAGCAGTACTGGAGCCTGGCTTTATGGAAAGGAGCCTCAGATCTTGCACAGGTACACAGGAGGAGCTTTCTTCTTTTGGGTGGTCCTTTCCCTCAGGCAGTTCAGGCAGGGGGTGGCTTTATTGTAGAAAGGTGAATCCAATTATCTATCTCTGCCACTTTTGCTGCAGTGGGTGTGGCAAGGATCACTGAGAAAAGCGCCTTTCCACTTTGGTTTTAATTGGTCTGCAGGAGTCCCTTTCCAGGTTTTAATGAGCTCTTGGTCTCCAGGGCAGACCCTAGGTGGTTCTCCTGGGCCAGGAGCTGGCAGGACTTTGTTCCCAAATAGTTGGGTAGCTTGCTGTAGTTAGCTCAGATTAATAAGATACTGTAAGAGTCTTGTGGCCTCTGGGTCCGCTACCATATCAAAAGATAGCAAAGGCCTCCCATATAGCATCTCAAATGGACTCATATTTAGCCCAATTTTGGGGTGTTCTGAATCCTCACGAAGGCTGTTGGCAATAATCAGAGGCAAGACTCAGAAGTCTCTTGGCAGAGTTTTGCTGGAGTTTGCTTTAGGGTCTGGTTGGCTTTTTCAACTTTCCAGAGGGCTGAGGTCTCCATGTAGAATGAGATGGTAATTTATTCCTAAAGGCTTGGTCACTGAGTTACTTGAGAGGTAAAAGAAGACCCATTGTCACTCTGAAGGGACTGGAGTAGTCCAAGCCAGGGGATGATTTTTTGGAGAAGTACTCTTGACTACCTGCATATCCTTCTCTGAATGGGTACAGACGCCCTCACTCTAACCTGTAAAGGCATCAGGATCTATTTACATCCTCTGCATGGTGTGTAGGTAAAGTCTAATTGCCAGTCCTCCCCAGGGTAGGTTCCTCTCCTTTGAGTTCTGGCAAAGGAGGTGGTCTGGGCATCAGAGTTATTGTAGGCACAGATCGGGCAAGCTTTGTAGTCCTGTTGGGTGGCTGCTTCTATAAGTCCTAGTCTTGTGAAAATTTGAATGACCATTTCCAATGTAGCATCTCTTCCTATATGGAAAGAATTATTCCATTGTGTCCCTTGAGGAAGTTTGTTTTCCAAATACCACTAAAGTCCCTTTTTAATTCCTTCTTGTCCTAAGTTCTATTTATCTTCCTAGTGGGTATAGACTGATTTTAATAGTTCCTCAGGAACTGGGAACAAGGTCAGGGTCTTGAGAAGCTGTAAGGCTGCCTTTCATGCCTATCAGCCTTTTGATTTCCCAAGGAGACTAGACACGTCTCTTTGGTGTCCTTTGCAGTGAATAACAGCAACCTTCTTGGGAAGATAGATTGCCTCTAGGAGTTGTAGAATTTCTTTCTTGTGCTTTATAAGTGATTATTAATTAGGAAGCCCCTTTTGTTCCAGATTGCTGCATGGGGATGTAGGGTATGTAAGGTATGGAGTCTGTGTAAATATTTAGCCCCTTGCCTTTTCCTAATATCAATGCCTGAGTAAGGGCTATGAGCTCTGCATTTTGAGAAGAGGTCTCCAGGGGAAAGGGAAGGAGTCTGGCTCCAAAGACCTATTGTGAACTGACAACTGCATAACCTGCCTTTCAATGTCTTTTTGGGCAAATCTACTTCTATCAGTGAACCAGCACTCCTTAGGGTCATAGAGGGACAGGTCACTGATGTCTTGCCTGTTTGCATAGGTCTTGGGTGTCACCTGTTCACAAGAGTGGCTACCCTTTGAGCCTGTAGGCATCAGTGAGGCAGGATTAAGCATAGTGCAAGTCTTTATGGGTAACCTCAGGGGTGTCTGGAAGCATGACCTGGTATGTACTTATTTAGCCATTCCCCTGTCAATCACAAGTAACCCTTTGTCTCAAGAATAGCTCTGGCATGATGGGGAGTCAAGACTTCTAGTTTTTGCCCCAAAGTTAGCTTTGTAGCTTCTTTTGTTAACATAGCTGCAGTTACTATTGCCCTCAGGCGGGGTGGCTATCCAGCAGCCATTCTGTCTAATATTTTTGAAAAGTCTGCCATTGGCAGGGGTTCTTGTCTCAACCTTTGGATCAGGACATCTAAACCAGTTCCTCTTTTTTTCCTGATATGTAGCAGAAGAAGGGTTTTGTCTCCTGGGACATTGTGCTTCCTCATATCTCTTCTTTGTTGAAATGTATCCAAATGTTCTGTACCTTAAAAAAAATGGGTTTCTTGTTTTGAGAGTTCTTTAGATACTCTAGGCATAAGTCCTTTTACCCAGAAGTGTGTTTGCAAATCTGTTTTTCTGCTCAGAAAGATTTTAATGGGAAGTAGCTCTCGTGTTTTTAAAAACTTACTCTGTGTCATTATTGGGTGGGAGAATGGAGTTAGGAGGGATAGAGACAAAGAAGTCACCTATAAGGTCCAAGTGAGAGATGAGGCTCAGGCCAAGCCAAGGGCAGAGGAGACCGTGGGGAGAAGGGAAGAGGTGAAAGCCATGGAGACCCGGTGGATGGCAGGAAAGACCCCTTTTACCCTATGGGCCCTCTTTTGCATCTTCTTACCTTTCTTCCTTTGACAAATATTTGTGGATCACCTGCTGAGCACCAGGTCATGAGCTAGGCATGGGGCAGATACCAAGGAAGAGCCCAAATGCTGCTGTCATGGTGGAGAAGACAGGCAGCAAATGACGGCATAAAGTGTATACTGTAATGGCTGCTGAATTGATGCACACAGCCAGCGCTTCCTGTGGGAATGCTGCCTTTCAATGGCTCAGGGGACCAGGGACCACAGTCCTCAGAGTTCTATTCCTAAGACAGAATCCAAGCAGTGAGAGAAAAGTGGGATTGAGGTCAGGAGCTCTGGGCCTGAATTCTGGCCCTGATGCTGGTCTCCAGGGTGACCTCAGGCACACTCCTGCCTCTCTCTGGCCCTTGGTTGCCTTCCCAAGATCAGGCTGCATGATCTTTCAAACATTATGATTTTTAATTGAAGTTCTTAAAAACCAATCTGAGAGCTTTGATGAACTGAAACAGGCACAAAGAAACAAGATCTCCTCCTTAGAATCAGGTCCTTTGTTGGAAAAGGTCTGGAGTCACCAATTTGGGCTCTCATCCAATGTAAGACCCTGGGAAGTGCAACCAGTAGGTGCCTATTCATCTTGTGTGGGTGCCCCCACCCTGGGATGGGGAGCCCGCTCCCTTCCAAGGGATCACATCCATGTTTTCTTTTTCTGTCTTTTTAAAGGGAAAGGATTACACCTGTTACGAAGGGCAAGTGCCGTCCAGCTGTGGATTATAACTCAGATCCCACTCCTTAGAGCCTCATGGAAAGAACAACCTGTAACCCAAGGCCCAAAGACAAATCTGGTGGTGGGAGGATGGGAATGGGATTCTTGGGGGAAAGATACTTGATGCGTGGGAGGGGGAGAGATGTGGAGGGGTCACCCTGGTGAAGCCATAGACCAGCTGTTGGGACAGCTGGGGATGGATACATTCTGTTACAAGAGATCAGTTGTCCTGGGAATTCCAACCAGCCAGTGACACGAATGTGGGAGCCCAGACAGCAGATGAACCTACAGACTGGAGTGTGGGTGACCCCCATAACCCTCCTACTGTAAGACCAGAGTGCTGGCTCCCTCTCATTAAAGTCCAAAAGGAAGGGGCAGAGTGTAGCCTATGTCACATGTAGCCCTAGGCCACTGCAAGAATACCCCACCCCTTCTCAGGATCTCTGGATGCTCAAGGGGCCTCTTGCCTGTGTCTAGTCATTGGGCACAGCTGGTAGCTCTACCCCCAGTGTGGCTCAAAGGCAGGCCTGGGGGTAGAGGCCTGGGGGGACGGTTGGTGAGCACATCCAGTTTCTTCATCAGTGTTTCTCATCAGTAAGCGACTGGCTGGGATGGGTAGTGGGCCATCCCTAGAGAAGATCCTGGGACCCCACAGCTTCAGCCACAAAATCTGCAGAACAATAAAAATACTTCACTTTCTTCTGAGTGTGTCTTACTTTCTCTCTTATGTCAAATCAATTGTTTTAGACAAAAGTAAAACCATCAACAACAAATCATCTACTTAAAAAAAAAAATTAAGCCAGGCATGGTGGTACACATCTGTAATATCAGCACTCAGGAGGCTGAGTAGGAGGATCACCAAATTTAGCAAGGTTACAGGAAGTAAATCCAAGATACCAAAACCAACTCTTTCTGTATAGCAGCAACACACAATCAAAAATTGGAAATATAAAATGTCATTTATGATAGCATCAAAACTATGAAATACTGCCAGGCATGGTGGTGCATGCCTGCAATCCTGGCACTTAGGAAGCTGAGGCAGGAGGATCACTGTGAGTTTGATGCCAGCCTAGGCTACATAGTGAGTTCAGGGCCATCCCAAACTGCGTAGTGAGATCCTGTCTCCAAAAATCCAGAACCAGAACGAAACATAAACATCTATGAAATTCTTAGGTATGAATTTGACAAAAGGTGTGTAATAGCTGTACACCAAAAGTGACAAAACATTTCTGAGACATTGAAGAAGATGTAGAGGGGAGTAGATGTAGTATGTTCCTGAGTCAAAAGACTATGTCAGGCTGTCAGTTTCCCCAAAACTGATCTCTAGATTCAATCGAAGTCCAATAAAAACCTCTGTGATTTTTTTTACGCTGTGACCTTGTGAAAAAGTTAACAGAGTGGGCCTAGAGATGTCATAGCCTATAAGGTGGTAGAGCACTTATCTCACATATGCAAGACCCTGGGTGTTTTACATTTTTAAGAAATCTTTGGTCTTTATCTTACTTCATGGCACATAGCTCCTGAGACACTTGGAATTTCCGGAGAGATGTCTTCTGTATGCTAAGTAGATCGTCTGGTGGCTGGAGGTCCCTAGGTAGCTTTAGGATGAGGATCAGTCACCAGAAAGACCTAAGCCCTACTGCACAGTTGGCGCTTCCAGACCTACCACCTCAGGAGCTGGGGAAAGAGGCTGAAGGTTGAGTCGGTCACCGATGGTCAGTTACATCATGTCATGCTCAGGACTGACACCTCCTTAAAAACCAAAGTGGACAGGACTGGGAGTTCTCAGATGCGAGCATGTGGAGGTGCTTGGAGGGTGGCACTTGGGAAAGGCATCGAGTGCTTCTTCTTTACCAATGCCTGCCCCAGGCAGGTCACGACTAAACCAACCCAACTGTACGGTCAAGGATGTGCCTTTTCTTCTGTGCTAGTTGTACCTCAGCAAACAGCTGTAGTTTGGGAGAAAATAATAGCTAAGTGCAAAGTAGGATGCTGGATAGGATTCTGGAATAGGAAAGGAGCTATGGTGTTAAAACTGGTGGGATTCAGATGAGGTCTGTTGGTTAACGTGACACCAAGGTGGATTTGTTGACTTTGATCATCTTGCTGTGATCATGTAGATGTGGGTATGGTTGGGCGAGGGGAATACGGGAATTCTCTGTGCTATCATTGCAACTGTCTTGTGACTCTAAAAATAAAAAGTTAAAAATATATGCAGTACAATTTTTAAAAAGACTGCTTTAAAAAAGACTGCTTAGTGAATGATTGCTGTAACAGACGGCAGAAGGGATAGAGGCCAGCTGAAACCACCAGGCTTGTGTAAAGGCAACATGGCATGGAATTTATTGTGCCTGGGTTCAGGCAGACAGAGGGCAAAAAGGTCATCTGTGGGGAATAAAGAAGCATGCCCCTTTTATAGGGATGAAGAGAAGGCAGGGGACATTAGGCAGGAAGATTTTAATAAACATCTGTGGTCCAAGTTCTCTGGCAGTCTTGTACCTCAGTGGGGAAAGTCCTTGAAGTGTCCTGTGTAAATTTTCAGGTATCTCCAGATGTCCCAGGGCCTGCAAAATTCCTTGTCCTATCTTATCTCCTTTATGACATCCTGTGCTTGCAATCACAGCCTCAGTGCTGAGCTGAGTTCCCCACAGAAAGCGGTGCTTCTACTGGCAAGCAGGCTGGGGCTGGGAGAGTCAGGTCCAGTTGGAACCTTACAGTTACATTTTTACAAATGTATCTGTCAGTTCTCCTTTACTGATGTTAACAGAAAAGATCAACAGATTTGCAGTGTTTGTCTCTGTATAGGAAAAACCTAAGTAGCAACTTTACCTTGGGTGGTTCTTCTAAGAATCTTTCCTGGAGGTAACCAACGGAACTGTTGTGAAGGCTTGTGTGTGGAAACACTAGGCTGTCAGGAACTGGGGCTGGCTTTACTACCCATGGAGGCCTGGAAGTGCCAAAGAGGCCACACCCCTCACTCCTTGGTAGTTGACATATAAAATACCCAGCCCCCTTGGCCCTTATGGGGACTAACTGCAGTGTGGTTTACCCTGGCTTCCAAAGTTTCCCCAGGGCAGTTAAACTCCAGTCATCCATGGCAGGAAAGAGTAACCCATTATCGGCTGTCACCCTTCTCTGCTCCCCTTCTGGTGTTTTCTTCACCTGCTTGGGGCTGATCAGACCCCTAGATACCTGAGGGGGGCTGACAGGGAATAAAGAAAAGACAAAAGACAATATTTGGGATAAGGGGGGGCTGGAAGGAGTTTGTCTCTAGTGGTCTGACTGTCTGATCTCTCAGTGTTGCACATTTTTATTGGCAAGAAGCGTGTGTGTGTGTGTGTGTGTGTGTGTGTGTGTGTGTGTGTGTGTGTAGTGAGCTTTTCCTGGACCAGTAAGGACTTTTAGGAACCGGGTAATAAAATGGGGATCAAGTTTAGCATTTCAAAGAGAACAAGATAAAATGCTTTTCCTGGATGTCTGTATTTCGTACACACAGGTATTATCTTTTCTTAAGAGGCTGTGAGTATGAGCTTTCCCAACACAGCTGAGAGCTCTCAGCTATTTACAAACCCTCTTGGCCCTTGAAGCAAGCTGCACTGGCCTCAGACCACAGGACAACAGTCACCTAGCCTGGTCCCTAACATAATGAAATACTATTTTATATCCCCTGACCCCCAACATTCACCTCCAAAATAGACTGCTTTCACCTAAATCCTTACCTCGGAGTTCACTTCTAGGGAACCCAAACTCAGATAAACACTACTATATTTGTCTGTATCCCAGTAGATCCCCTTGTCACACCCCAATTTGGGGACCTGATTTTGGGGACCATTGCTCTGCTCCCCAACAAGAATTCCACCTTTCTGTCCAGCCTGGTCTCACATACCCTCAAGGCAGCTGCTTCCATTGTGTAGGGCAGTTATGATTACAAAAGTGTCCTTTGGATGGTGAGCTAAAATCTGGCTCCTTGTGACCTTTGACCCACACAAGGTCAAAAAAGGACATGGAAATCTGAGGTGTTTTGACTGTTGTCAGGGTAAACCCTGACGTAACTGAGGCCACTAGAACAGGCAGGGTTGAAGCAAATGGCAACATCTTTATTTCAGACCAGCGGTGGCTGGGACAACAGTGAAAAGATCGTTGGCTCTAAACAAAGGAAGAGGATATCCTTTATAGGGGAGTTTAAGCAGGGGAGGGGGATCTCGCTGAGGGAAATGGAAAATTTTAAGTTTGTCAGGGGTTGTTGGTGGGTCTGGTGCCCCTGGCAGGAAGCACCTGGTGAGAAGTGAAGGATGACAGTGGTGTTTTGCTCACTTACAGAGCAGCATTCTGCAGACTTACAGGGCTTCCTGTAAGCCTGAGAACTGATCCGATAAACAGTTATTTTGGTCTCTCAGGCTGGGTGAGGGGGCTTCCTATTTGAACAGACTGGCCTGTCAGGGCTTTTTCTCTTCAAGTTGGGCAGGTTCCAATGTGGGGACCTAACAGCTGGACCCTGCTGAGACCTCCACGGCCCCCTGGGAAGGGAGGGCACAGATACTGGCCATGAGGGTTGGACTCAGGCTCTGCCTTGCTGGAGTCAAGCAGCGCCGTGTAGGTTATGTAGGAGGCTTTTTCAGTTCATAGCTGGCTGCTCCAAGGCAGGGTGGCATGGCAGAAAAGCATCACAGATCAGGCAGGCAGAAGGCTTATTATGGACAGCTAAGTTATTTAGAAATATTATAAGGCTAGGGATATAGCTCAGTGGCACGGTGCCTGCCGGGCAAGCAAGTGCAAGATCTTGAGTTCAGTTCCTGGTACAAAAAAGGAAGAACTATTATAGGCAGCCAGATAGGGCTAGGCCCTCAGGGAAGTCAGAGCAGAAGATGGGGGTACATTGCAACTGTGGGGGAGGTGCATAGGTTGAGGGTCAGACCTCAAGACAAAAGATGAAATGAAAGCACCCACATACTTTCTCTAAGGATAAACAGCAGTGATTGATAGTCTAAATAGGTATCAGCACCTTGGAGAAGCCAGGAAGAACTGCTGACCCACTCCCTCCAGGAAAATCCCCTGTTCTGTTTCATGCCCACTTGATACATGACTTGCTTCCCCCATTTGATCCCCATTTAATCATATTACCTGAGCAAGCATACCTGTAATCTTATTGGAAGACCATAGTTTTGTCCCACCTCATGCCCACCTTGTGGTTTCCCATTAGATCAATGTTACCTAAGTGATTTTTGTTTGTTTTTTTCCGGTACCGAGAATTGAACTCACGACCTCGTGCTTGCCAGGCAGGCGCTGTGCCACTGAGCTAAATCTCCAGCCCCAACCTAAGTGATTATACTTCTCATCTTATTAGTTGACAATAGTTTTTCCTACCTTGGACCCACCTCTTGGTTTTGTTCTATAAAATTCCCAAGAAAAGTAAGGTCCTTGACAACCCACTTAGACCCCATCTGTCTCTCTTAGACAGAAGCTTTCTTTCCCCAATAAATAGATTCTGCTCTTAACCTCTATTGTTTCTAGACTTCATTCTTTGATTTTAGAGAACACCACTGGTACCAGATTTCTAGCAGGTTGGGAGCTTAATTCCCCTATAACAGCATCAAGTAGCATGTGACAAGTGACAAGCAACAGGAAAGCCTCTTTCTGTCCCTTGTGTGCTGTTCATGCTACTCACCCTTGGGGAGAGTAGCACTCACACCCAGAGTGGG